GAGGGAGTGTTATCCAAGCGCAACAGTTACCATGGCATTCCCGCATATCTTCTTATTTTATGCGATGTGTTTACGTTTACAAGGGAGATAGGGTTACCCTGGCGCAAGGGTAACCCGCGTAGCATAGCTTCAGGGTCATCCTACCTGCCTCGATAACATTGCTATTCACATGCAGGAGACAGGGAAGACAGTACACTGCTACCTTACCTGTGTGGTAGTGCAAGTACGTTGTATTTGACTCCCTATAGTGTAATCATATGCGGCTCAAAAGTGGTTGAGAAGGGGTAGTTTTTCATTCTCAATAAATTGCAATAGGCCATTGGCCAAGTTCCCCCGGGCCTCTGTATCAAAACGAGGTTAAGTGCTCAGCCTTTGACGAGAAAGGTAGTGCACTTGGCCTCATTTTGAGTGTGAGGGTTTTCGGAACTCGGAAGTGGCCTATTGCTCAGTGGTTGTTCTTGTCTTAAAATACGGGGAGACTCGATCTTCCCGAAAGGGATGCCTTTTTCAGGCTTCAGGTGTATCAAAGTGTAGGAAATTCACGAGTTGAAGAATTAAAAGCAAAGAAATCATTAAAGTCATTTAAAAGAGTATTTAATTAAAATGCTTTGCAACGTGCGCCTTATAGTTGTTGTGGTTCAATTTTATCCTTGGTTTAATTTTTATTTTCCTTTGTTTTTGGGCATGGTAATATATGATAATGCGTTTGAAACAAAGGGAATAAAAATTAAATCAAGGATAAAATTGAACCACAACATAGCCACAATCCTCGTCACAAATCTTGAAAAACTTGTGTGATTTTCCCCTCCCCAACGTTGATTTGGGTTTGCAGTCATTTCAGTGCTCCAAAATACGCTCGGCTCAACATTGGGCAAGAAGAGGGGGTACATTTGAGTGAGAACAAAGGTGTGAAGAGTGAATGTAAGAAAGTTGGAAAAAATTCACGACAAATGGCTCCTGTTTCAACGATTTGTGACGAGTATTGTAGTTCCCTAGTAATTTAATAAACGCTACACGAAAATGACAAGCGATTTAATGATCATTATTTTAAAAGTAGGTATGTTGAAAGGGGTACCAATTTTCAATGGCATGTATCTTAGGCGTACGGGCTATTTTTTGCCGGGGGGGGGGGGGGGCGGAGGTAAACCATTTGCCCCAAAAATTATTGCAAGTTACCTAAATTTTTACAAAACAGTCGAACAGAGACGAGGGCCGATGCAATGGCTCCATACAGTTTTTCAAGGTCAATGCCTGCCAACTTTGAGCATAAACTACGTCGCCATAAACAAACATTTAGAAAAATTGCCCCCACAGTTGTATTAGATAAAGATGAAAATTTGTTGTGATCAGGGTTGCAATGACATCGGAGTTGTCATAGCAACGAAATGAAGCCATTACCTATTATACTTGCAGCAATATTTCTCCGTGTGAACTGTTCTTCTAAAATCGATCACAGGAGCTTTTTCCTCCAATAGTCGCCTCGATGTTGGGGAAGTTAAAACGGAATCTATAAGAGCATTATCGAGATATTTTGGGATAAAGTTTTTATCGTTGAAAATACGAAAAAAAAAAAGGAAAATCTTGATGTTTGGCCGTTATCTGTAGAAACGATGCGCTTTTGTTATGCAATTTCACCTCATAGTAGTTTCAATCTTTTTAACAACGTGGGTGAAAGATCATGGAGATAGCTCCGGCCAATTGCTAAAAAGAAGGATTTGATTAGTATGTGTTAGCGGTTTTGTAAACATTTCAGTCTACTTTAACAAATTAGTGAATAATTTTTAAACCGCTCAATAGATTTTTTGTAAAAAAAAATTAAGATTCTTCTCGCAATTCAAACTGAGAATTAGTCAGCCACTTCTTCACTTTCAGACCCATTGCTGATGCTATCCCTGCCATACACTGTTCTACGAGCGGAGATGATTCTAGAAAGTTAGGCGGAAGTTTATTCTTATAAATTCACTAGTGGAAATAGCCCATTGCAGTACAGTGCCCAACGATAAAAAAAAATCAGGATATGATACCCTTCCCTTATAAACAGAAACTCATCACGAGCTTGGCAACCACTGTCTCGTGTGAACGTAACTGGATTATTACGCCCACTTCAGGTCAAAAGAGAAAATATTTATCTCTTCAAAATAATAATTATAATAAATATGGAAACGTCTGTAAAAGCTAGCTTTGCCCAAATTTTCTCTCGCTGCCCCAAAATTCTGAGTTGCCCAAAATTTGGAGGGGCTGCAGCCCCCCTCCCCTACCCGGTCCGTACGCCTATGGCGTGTGCAATTTGTGCTCTTTGAAAAATTTTACGAGTGCTTATTTATTCCAAATTGCACGAGAAAAATCATGTGATTACTTATTAATAATATTCATGAAAAAGTTGCGAGAGAGCTTTAAAATCTCTTTGATAGGGAGTCAACACGCGTAAACTACGTGAAAAAATAAATTATTCAAATGCCTCAAATATCATCACAAGTGCAGTCAAAACAACATTTTGCTCGATGTTTTTAAAGTTTGCAAGCCGTAGAAATGGGCTGAACAGTTAATGGAATTGTTCAATGTGTTTGAATTAAAGATTCTCGATTATTACCTCGAGTTTTCCGCTCTTTCAGAGAATTTCTTCTTCCTTCTCTCATACTTGCCGAGCTTTGTTTGGGCTCTTAGAGAGGTTCCTTCCTCTTCCCGACTTATCTAGGAAGATCGAAGGAGACTCTGTTCGCAGGGTAACCACGGACAGCCAAGCGAAGGTGTTTCGCTTTGTCCTCTAACACCTCTTTGGAAGAACTAAATTCTCGGTCACGTACAATGGACAGGGTGCTGCCTTTGTTCTTTCAGTGTCTATCAAGCGATGCCATCATTACTTTAAGGCTTTCTAGTTCATAATCTGCACCTTTTTATTTCGACGTAGAAATGCTCGAGCAACTGAGTGTTAAGCTCAAGCGGGTAATAATTTTCTATTTCATCAGTAATTTCCTTATCTACGCACCAATTCTTCCAAACAGAGAGCCAAAAACTAGTGCTTTTCGCAGTGTTTTCGTTTTTAGAGCAGTTTTTCAGCTCCTCTACAGTTGTTTCGGTCGCAAAAGCAAATGTGCTGCAAACGCCAACCATTGCATGTTTTTGCTCGAAACTGGCCCGGAGCGGATCCAAATTTTGCTCCATTTAGATGGCGCATTTGATTCGGCTCCCAGTAAGTTCTTTTGTTCATTAGCCAGTCAGAATGTCACGTTTGTTACTCTTTTCCGCACTAAATTACCTTTGTTCTGCACTCAATTACCTGTTTTTTTCTGCACCGTGTTACATAAAAACTGCATTTCTCCTAGCCAATCACAATCGAGAAATTTTTTCATGTATATTATTAATGTTAATAATTAATGATGACCGAAGGTGCGACACAGCTTTAGCCCAATTGAAACCCAACCTTCATTCAATTTATTGATTACTTCTTTCGTAAAAAATGACAAGTTTAAGGGATACACATCCAAGTTCTTCGTATGCACCAAAGGTCTCATATCCTGTCCTCGATCTTTCTTCGTTCACGGTATGTGCATCACTTCACCCTGCGAATAAAAAATGCATTAGGGAAAGTTCATTTAATATGACAAGGGGGGGAGGGATGGGAGGGGGGGCTCGAAAATTTTTAGACACCCAAAGGGGGGCTCTGAAAAAGTTGTTGCACTAGAGGGGGGCTCCGAAAATTTGTATACTTCAAAACCAACACATGACATCATCATACAGATCGGATGGTTTTCAACTCAACAATTTAATGACCTGTGCAACTCAGCTACATCACGTGGTTTACAGATATAACAAATGTAGTCTCAGTAATTATTACACTCTTGTTCATCTCAAAAATGCTTTAGAAAATTGTATCACAACTGTATCTCAAGTTTGTCATAGTATAAACCATTGAAGGCAATAACGGTAAATATATTTAATACAGTCTAGCGATCTTTTTTCAGGGGAGCAAAGGAATTGAAGGAGGGGGGGGGGGGGGCTCCTAAAAAATTGAACCGCTAGCGAGGGGGGTTGCTAAAATTTCAAGCTTCGAGTTTCAATATCTTCATCCCCCCCCTCGTCATATTAAATGAACTTTCCCTTATTTCTAAAAAATTCCGCGATTTTGTTCAGTTATTATGACACATTTTTCCTTCACAGTTACAGCCAGCTTTCTCTCTAAAACTGGGTCAGGACTTCAGTTAGTCAATCAGTCAGCCAATCAATCAATCAATCAATCAATCAATCAATCAATTAACTAATCAATCAATCAATATACAGTCGAAACCTCGATCATCCGGACGTCCTAACCGGACTTTCCGGTCTCCAAGATATCCACTCCAGACCCGTCGAGTTCGATGTCCGATGTCCGCACCTCCGCTCTTCCTTTCTTACCCATTAAATAAAAAAAAATTAAAAACTAGCACCAAAAACTGTACCAGAAACTTGTGTATTTTTATCTGTTGACTTATTTCATATCTTCAAAATATAACTTACAAAAGAGTAGGCACAACATGTTCCTCCAGAGCAAGTTCCGTTAGTGCCAGTGTAAAAAAGTGTATTTGTATAGCACGTCTCCCTACAAAACGACCCCATCGGACACTCGTCGCGCTTTGGAAGCTGAGAAAAATACGGATCTGTGTCACATTTTGTTAAATTCCTTTTTTCCTTTTCCTTTTTTGGCTTCTAAAAGGGGGGAACTCAGGATGATATTTTCTTAAAAATTATCCGCTACCACTCTATTTAAACTATAAGTAGGATCCTTTGGCTTTCAATAATATTTATTAGAAATTCCATCGTAGCCTGAAATTCGTCCGATTGCGTCGAGTCGTTTTCTCCTCTCAACAGCGTTACTGAGGGAGTAATAACGACTGGAAGTAATCGGATGAAATTCAGGCTAATTCCATCGGGCATATTATGACTTCAAAGCTGAGCTGGACGTTTACTCGTTTACTCAAAAGGAACGCATTTGAAAGAATAACTTGAGAGTGGTTGGAGAAAAATTAGCCACCACAAAGGTGACAAACATCATGTTCAAAATAAAAAACAAGCAGGACTGCAGACGCTGTTACCTCACTGTCTATAACGTCATTGGTCTTCAGCAACTGCTTCAGCTTGTTGGAGGAAGTGCAAGTGATTGACAGCAAAGTAACTAAGGTTACAAACAGCATTTTCATGGCTGAATATCAAAGGAAACAAATAATTGTTATAGCTTTAAGTAAAAGAAGCGTGGCATGTTTATATTTACCAGAATTGTTTTTTCCTTTTGGAGGGGTAGAACACTTACTCCTGCTGACAGATTAGTATTTTTGTTCAAAGAGCTAATCTAGCGTTTTATAACAAAAGAATTAGAAGGCAAACCGAAGATTCGGAGAGCATTATCCACATGATGGGGGATGTAACCATTGCACGACTATAACATGAAAGTTACATATGAAACAAAATGTTTTGCACGGATAAAGTTCACGTATAATTTTCATTTTCACGTGCAATGAATCATGACTATACCTTGATGATGCTGTCATGGCGGCGACATTGAAACGTTGTGCAAAACCTTTTTTCGCTGATTTTCATGTTATCTAAACATGATTCTAAACCCTCAAATATAATGTACATTGTACCAACGGCTCTTGCTAGATAGGCTGAATGACTGTGGTATTGAAAATTATTTTTTCTGCAAGATTGCCAATGTCATTCTTGCACGAAATAAAAACAACTTGTAGGGGATTTCACGACTAACGATATGCATTGTTGGCTTTTGATATTGAGGCCGCTTTGAACAAGATCGCCCGAGATACATATTTGCCCTTTGAGTTGTTAAAAACTAAGAATCAAGAAGAAATTGTTACTAAAAAATAAGGATACAACTATCCTCTCCTCGGATGAAAAAGATTCAAAAATTAAATCCAAGCTGTAAAAGGACAAAGCAGAATATTTCTTACGACACAAAATTAAAGAATACAATGGGAGGTTCGTGGTAATATTACTGTTTTTAATCTTACAGGCCCCTCCAATTTAAAATTAGTTTAGCTTTGCGGTGTTTTTCCGGCTCTTTAAAGCGATGTATTCACAGGGCGCCCTCACAATAGGGCCATTTATACGAGGAAAAATAAGACGCGTCTTAAATAAGACGCGAACTTTCCGTATAAACGGCACATTTCGTCTAAAATAAGACGCGGCTTAACTAAGACGCGTCTTATTAGATAAGACACGCTCGTATAAATGGTACAGTTCGCGTCTTATGTAAGACGCGTCTTATTTTGCCTCGTATAAATGGCCCTAATGTGTTTGTGTAACCGATTGCTATTTTATAGCAAATGTACTGGATATACCGTTTGCTTCAACTATAGCGATTTATTTCTATAATCAATATTAAATAAACGTTGAATTACCTTACCTGTGGTATATTGTCGCCCTTTTGCCTCAAAAGCGGTTTTTTGAGCGATTTTGAAGGATTTTGAGTTTGTCGTTTACTGTTCCTAATAATATTAGGTGAGTAAGCGGCCAACTCAAAATCCTTCAAAATCGCTCAAAAAAGCGCTTTTGAGGCAAAAGGATATACCACAGGAAAGGAAATTCAACGTTTATTTAACATTGATTTATATACATACTTAGCGATATCTCGTTATAGGTGAAGCAAACGGAAAATCAGTACATTTACTATGAAATAACAATCGGTTACACACACATTGTGTGGGTTCTCGCTGATGCATTTAACTTTTTTTTAGTTTAGTTTAGATAATTGTAAAATCATGAAATGCTGAATTAAAAAATTATATATAAAGGTCTATTATGGAAACTGTTTACCCTTCTTAGGTAACCTGTTTCTTGTCCTCAGTTTCGTTCTAGTTTTTTATTCAACATTTAATTGTAACTAACCTGGGTAATGCTGATCATCCAAGCTCCTCAAAGTCCAATAATTTTAGCACACCTGAATAGGATATATAAGATGGTGGTTGCCGTGTACGGGAATGCTATTGGTCAGTTTGTAAACAATGCAGGGTATGATCTGACAGGTATAGTAGTTTTTGCCATTAACTAGAGACAAATTTACCTACACTGGCATTTTAAATTTGTTGTTTCCATAGCCGCTAGAAACTTAAAAACTAGCACGCCTCAAAAAATAAAACATTTTCAATTAGCCAAGGTGAAAAAAAAAAAAAAAAAATAAAATAAAATAAATGGATAAAATAAAAAAAAATAAAAAGAAGTTTTACAGTGGGTACCCTTTTTGCACTTATGTAATTAAATCGAACGAGATGAAAGTGTAACGAGACAGTATCCCTGGCATTTCCGAATTTCTCCTCATTTTAATGCCACGCGCGCGTTTTCAAAGCAGATGAGGTTACCCTGGCGCCAGGGTAATAAGCCGCCTAGCTTAGCCCTTTGGGGTCGGGTTGTTCAAAGCCTGGTTACGAATACCCCTGAGGTTTAGTGCGAAATTTGAATTCAGGTATGAAAGCTTAAAAAGCACATTCCGTTCAATTCCTATTGTTCATAATTTGATCTTTGGATGCCTTAAAAATAAGAAAAATTAGCCGAGAAAATGTTTTTGCGGAAAAAAGGAAAAGAAAACCGGATTCAAATTTAACCACTGGTTAGCGATAATCGGCCTTCGAAGAACTGGGCCCAGGGTCATCCTACCTGCCTTACAAACCTAATTCCTTTCATTCGTTTTCTTGCCGTTTGGAGTAATTGGAGTAGGTTTACACACACTCAGGCTGCCCAACCATAGGGTGCAAGTATTTGGCCTTTAGTTATTAACAATCCTTCGCGGGCCTTACGGATGCTGTCCCTGTCTGAATTAATTAGTTGTAGCGGAATGAGTTCTATGTCCCTGATGTAATGTTCTGGAAGAGAGAAGTGGTCTGAAACGACGGTAGGATAATTTTGTTTCTCCGGTGTATTGCATATTACATTTATTGCACTGGATCATGTAAATGAAATTTGAAGATGAACAGGAGATGTGATATCGGATGTGTTGTTGTTTCGTGCTGAAGAAGAAGGTGTAAGACGTGGTTCCTTTTGTAATAAAAGGATACGTCTCACTAGGATGTCACGTAGTTTATTGCAGTGGCCGTAGGATATAAGAGGAGGAGAAGGAGGTGCTTCTTTGCATCGTTGTGAAGAATAAAGAAAGCGCTCTTTTAGAATTCAAATCTATACGTAACACAATACAGTGTACAAAATTTACCCCTCCACAGTTCCAGCTCGTGAAATTTTGAATTTGCGCTGAATTCTTGGACACAAAATTGTCGAAAAATTCAAATTTTGAGATTCCCGAATGTGTCTCGACTAAACTACGAGTTCCACGCAAGATATGTAATTATGGTAATTTTGGTTAATAACATTCCATGCTTTAATTTTGATCAGTAAGCCTTAGGCTATGTACACACATACCGGATAGCTTTTCGTGCCGACTCGAAAAGTTAAATAGCTGTAGTGTGTACACCTCCACTCTAGAGATCTAAGCGGCGCAGCTTTGCTCCGTCTCAGAAATCGCGCCGCGACAACCGTCCTTGGCGTATGAACAGAAGCCCTATCCGGTATGGTATTCGTGGCGACGCAGTCCGAGTACCGGGGGGGGTACTTTAGGAATTTCTGGGTGGGGATGTGCCGCTGGGACCTATACCTATACCGGAGCTAGTTCAGCTGAATTTTGCTACCCTATACTAGAGTAAACTCCCCAAATCCCCCCTATCCTAGACTAGCTGTTTCCCTAGTCTAGATAACATCTTCAACCAACTGATCAGTTTCCTGAAAAATGATACCCTGTTCTAATCTAGACCCAAACGCTCTTTTTTATATACTCTATCCTAGAGCAGACTGCTTGAAAACCATACCCTTCACAGCGGCACATTACCTATATAGCCCATATATGGCAGTACCCCTCCGGGTCTGAGCATAGCCTCAATGTTTTCATGGATTTTTGAAGCAAAAAAACGTACATAGAGTTTTGGTATTATATTTGGTCGAAAATTCTAAAGAGTGTACTTTTGAGTTACTTTTAATTGATTTGAAAATCCCTGAAACAAGGTTTACTACCATTCAGGGCTCGTTTGCTACTTGATTTTGTTCGCAGTCTCCGCGCCATACATGCACGTAAATACTATTATTATACATTGTACTCACTATCTTTCTTCTCATTGGCTAAGAGCCTACAACTAATTTTGGAAATCAGCGCAACCTACAGATTAGTTAGTTATCTGCTAGCAGATAATTGACTAATCTGTAGGTTGCGCGCGCAATGCATGATTTTCAATGACAATATCAATTCAGGTTCCTAGCGACGGTGTGATTGACGTTATTTTCTTCAAAACAATGTATAATACTAGTCATAGACTCCATGCGGTTTCCATGTATTTGCCATGAACCTTTGAAACATGGACCACTGTTTCAAGTTTCTCACCTTTGAGATATTTCCCAGTTCACTTTTTCTGATCCTTGTATCAAATAAAATAATCGGGATCTCGCAATAAACTAACCCTACAAACACATGGACCACTGTTTCAAGTTTCTCACCTTTGAGATCTTTCTCGGTTCACTTTCTCTGATCCTTTTTTCATCTTTATTAACTCCTGAATACCTTAATATAGAACAAAACCCGATTATTTCACATTAGCACCTTTCTTGTTTTTGACTGGGTTTTGAAATATTTGAGCTATTCCGGATGTGGTTTGAATCGAGTCTGTCGATCCCCGTTGCTGATTTGTGTCTGACAAATCAGGACAAATCAAGCTCTTTACTGCGCTTTTCACAAACACCCGAACTCTAAAATTCAAAAGCCGCCTTTACAATTGCGTTTTCGCTGCCGTCAATCATAATTACGATCACAAGCAATGAACCTTAAAACACAGAAACCTACAAAACGGATCGAAATCCACCAACCACAGATCACAAACCTTGACCTTTTGAACCCGTTTAAGCAAAGTTCTGTTTCCTAAGAGGTGCGTTAAGATGATTGACAGCAGCGAAAAACACAAACGTCAGTTGGTTTTTGAACATCAGAGTTCGCGTGTTTATGAAAAGCGCAGTAATACCAAACAATTCCAGCACTGCTGAATAGCTTTTTAATAAAAAGAAATCGGAAAATTGATGTGCTACAAGATACTCAATGATAAAAAACTCACCTTATCGCTTGGAGTGAAATCCAGACACAATTCGGGGAATGCGACTCGTTGCCAAACCCAGATTGCGCGGTTGCTGAGCCAGGCGCACATGCTGAAAATTAACCGGGACCACCCTGCGCGCCTAGTTTCATCAAATCGAGAAAATTTTCGCATACTAACAGTGCGACGATACGATACTTTTTCTTTACGCGGGGGGACATTAGGGGTGCCTCCTCGGCCTTCGGCTCAGCTGATAACACTTAGCTCGAGCTTGATTATTCCGGATATCACAAAAACCTCATCCAATAATTGTTTATTATTAATATCATTCACTCATCTCTTATCCAGTTATGACGATCTCGCAAACCAGTCGATTTCAGTCATTGTACTTAGTGCCTACGCTTTAAATATATAAATGCACAACAATGAAGCCAAGGTGTTGCCCGCGGCCTTAAACGATACAATAAAACTGGCAACAAAAAATGTGCAACTTGTTTTGCAATATTGCTACAAAACGAGTTGAACAGCGATTAGGCTTTCAGTGACAGATTGCCTCGGAAAAGAACAAAATACGTGACCTCAATAGGTAAAAAATGAACCTGCAATACAGTCAGGTGATGATGGTCAGCAGATGCTCTCGTTTGACAGCTGTCAATTAACCTTCATTAGAATGGCGAATATTCAAATTAACGGACTGTTGACTACGAGTGTGAGTAATACATTTCAGTCCGGCTTGTAGTGGGGGACGAAATGCCAGATCGTGTACCTGAGCGGACCTGAGCCCATGTTATTAGTTTTCTGATAATGGTCTGCACATGTCCCATTTTGAAAGCTGTCAATTGACCTTAAAGGCACAGTGTCCCGATTATGCGCAAGCTCGAGCTTCATCTGTTTTTTCTTCAAAAGACAATAGAACTGTCATATTGACTCGACAAGATTTCCTTGTGGACCGCACCGCCGACGGAGATTTGTTGTTTACATTCTCAAGTAATATTTTAAACTTTCGAAGAAGTCTTTTACCTTATTTATGTTTTGGCTCGCAGCACGAAGACTCATCGCGATTTTATCGCTAGCAGGGCCACCTCTCGACCCGAAAATCTCGTTCCGCTCGCTCCAAAAACAGCTTTTCTAATGTGAAACTCCTGTCAGAGGTTAATTGTTCCAAGTCCAGTAATATTTGCCTGATTTGCTCGCGTTCTAGCCTCAAACGTTTGAAACATATAAATAAAAATGCAATCTCAACGCCATGAATCATCGCAAAGGTTAGTCGAAAACTATATTGTGATTTCATTGCACTAGTTTTTCTAACTTTTGTAATGCCTGTTTGTCTGATTTAGTCGGCCGTAGGGAATAAAAGTTTACTAACGCGTCTTTGCGAAATACTCTACTTCACGAAGCTTAATTCCGCAAGATCTTCTTAGTCACATCAATGTCTCAATGGTTTCTTTCTTACAGTCTTTGTTGTTGCCGTTTCATTTCTGCGTATTCCTTTCACAGTTATCTGAGCTTGTATGGAAGCTGGCAGAAGAAATAAGCCTTCACTCGGCATCAAAGCGCTTCCCATTGGTCCTCCGGCCAAAGGCAATAAAAGTAACGCCAAAAAATCCCGATTTCGTGCTTATCGAAACTTAACGGGAACGATATATCATTGATCTGTAATCCTGAGAATTTTTAGTGTTATTGAGCGCGATGGAAACGGATTTTTCAAGGTTCTCTTACTGTCCTCGCATCTTTTGATTTCGCGACATCCTGTCCGAAAATCAAAGTTTGGCGCAAGCGCAGTAAAGGGATATTGCTCCTTTAATTTGGCTTGCGCATATAACTTTTTAAACTACTGGCAGCCGACTGACAGCCCTGCCCGGCGTAGTTTCGTTTTATGTTGAATTGGAAAGTGTGACATATTATACAGGGTGTTTCAAAAGTTCGTTCCGATTTTTTATTCGTATAAATTTCACTAATTGTTAAAAAAAAAAACTTTTTTAAAACTTAGTATGTTATTCATTATTCATTTAACATTGAATAACTAAAATATTAGTAACCGGAATGTCTTCTTGTATGTTTTCTGACATTTACTAAGCATTGAGGTATAGAATGTACGATCTCCCAAAGCGTGTCCAAAGTCACATTCTTCCAGGCGAAGAGTAGTCACTGTCTTAGCTCGTCCAATGTTTTTGGGGCTGGATCTTTGTATGTTGTCTCGTCTACGATAATCCAGATGATCTCTAGCGGTTCACATCACGTGAGTTTGCCGGTCGGTCCTCCTTTGGTAAAAAGTTGGCAAATCCTTCTGACACCATGCTTGCGTGAAGTGTGCACCGGCTTTTTCTCTACAAGGCTTTCCAACTTTTTTTGGTAAATTATCCCTATACCGTTGTGCTCGAAACTTTGATCGATAATGTGAAGTTGAAATTTTTTTACCTTTCTGTTTTGTGGAATTATTACACATATACTTACAGCTTTTTCGATAATATTTCTCACACAGTTTGTGAAAAAATGGCCATCCACTCCTTGGTTTGTCTTCTAACGTCTTTACTTTTGACCACTTGTTCGGTCATCGTTCAGACTTCTTCAACAATTTGACAAGTTTTTTTTTGACTGAATAGCCAGAAGACCGTAGAAATAGATGCCTGAGCTCTAGCACAAACAGTGTAGGCCTTCACTTTCATGAAGGAGTAGAAAAAATAAAAGAAAACGATAAAAATACCAAAATAGAAAACCTACAAAATGGGCAGGAAAAGTATGGCAGGAAAAACCTCGCGTATTTGTACAGTTGGGGCAAAAATTAAAAAAAAATTATAATTTCCTCAAATTTTAGTTTGAAATTGCTTTGAACGGTTATTTAGATAAATTTCTTACCTGAATCAGTTTACATTTGCCTGAAGAAGCATTAAATGCTTTGCGCAAAATACAATTTACAATCGGAACGAACTTTTGAAACACCCTGTATAAGCTTATTTGTAGGGCAAAACGACTGGTCTTTCATCTGAGCCCGCGAGATGGTCATGTGATAACTGTCAGCGGATGTCTGATTTTGACAGATGTCAATCTAATCATACTCATACGGATGGCTTACATAATTGACAGGCCAGTGTCAAGTTGTGCAAGATCTAGTGTGACATTTGACATTGGCTTACATGAAATGTGTGTACAGGTGCGCGTACGCTACGTCATAACCAAATTTTTTCTCGGATGGATAGTTTACCAAATTTTGTTACCCATGGTGCTCCGCTGCCCGCGCCTCCCGCGCGCGAGAGCTCCGCTACTAAGTTAATAAAACCAACTTTCTGTCAATGCTAGGAAATTCCTTATTTTTATTTCTTAATTATTTTCTAAAAAACTACTTTACATTCAGTTCGGATTATGTCTTGACTGCGCGTCTTCCACGATATCTAATATATTCTATAAAAATTCAGAAATGCTGAGCATTCAGGATAAATAGAGGCCTTAGCTACTACCGGGTGTGTATCACTTGACACAAGAAGAATGGAGTTGTGTAGCAAATTATTCACAAAGATAAAAGAGCCCGAGTCGCGTCTTCGCCACCTTGTTCCACCGACTCGGTCGCAGGCGCACGGCCGCTCTCTTCGCAACAAAGACAGACCATCCCTTATAAGTTGCAAAACTGAACTCTTTAAAGGAAGCTTTTTTCCGGCGATGTGCCTTAATGCTCACGGCATGTAATTTAGGAAGTTATGGGAGTTTAATGTATAACTTGATATATTTCTAGTTTCTAGTTTTTTACCTAATTTATTGTATCATATCTTCTCATAATTGTAAGACCCAGTCCATTTTGAACACGATATAATTAGTTTAAATTAATTTTTTTGATTAATATCTATATCTTTGTAAAATAATTTCGTAATTCGCTTATTTCTTAGCGCGACGATTTTATTAATAAACCAGACTTAAATAACAAGGCCTTCACTCTATTCATGTTCACAACAAAGTAAGTTTTATGCTCCTTGAATGTTAATTAGAAATACTATTAAATTTATTATCGTATGGCTAAATTAAAGGTCATGCATTTGGCGAAAAATGGATCAATCTTCAACTATAAAAGGCTTCTTCCAACACACTTTGTGGCAGTTGTCGTGGCAGATGCGAGCAGACTGGCAGACTGGCAAAGTGGACTTCATTGCAGGAAACTTTCAATCTTAGTTTTGAATCAGGACTCACAGTGGTTTGCCTATAATAGGGGATCACTTGTGAGATGCGACAAATATAGGGCTTTGACTGTCAAGAAAACCGATTTTGGTATTTTGAGATGATTGTCGCGTACAAAAAGTAGGCGCACATAAAGTCTTGCCTGTAAACAACTTTAAACTTGGCCCCTTTGTCTCTTTTCCAATACTTAGGGCTCGTTTATTTGGGGAAAAGTCACCCTCCCAGCCGAATAGACTTTAGCTAACGTTTGTACGAGAAAAAAGCTGACCCCTTTGCCCACGCCAACAGCGCTTGCGCATGCTCTAATTGTCTCCCCTTGACTGAGTTGACCCAGTTGAGTCACAGTGTTTATGTGGAAAAACGTTGGCCCGACTAGAAGGGTGAGCTTACCATCGAAATAGGTTGACCCTCTCGTGCAAACCGTTCGCTGAGTTTTGTGAGGAAATGTACGAAACGTTTGCTCGCCCAGGGTAGCTCGGGTAGGCGAGTAACCCTTCCACCCCGGACAAGGTTTCTCTATGAAAACGGAGCTTAAAAATAAAAACGATTTTGTCTCTCCAGGTCTACTATAAGTCAGAGTCCATTCTAATTTATACAATGCAGTTTTTACAACGGTAGTATCATCGGTCTATCGTTTAATCGCTTCAAGATTTCCTGAACATCGTGCGGCCACTTGTAGCTGATTCTTGCCCACAGAGGCAGATCTGAAGTTGAGACTGACGTATCAGGCAGCACCAAGCATACCATCTTAGAGGCTGAGCGATTCCTGGTGTACATATCTCGAAGTACCTCCAGCTCAAACCAAACGCGGTTGATTTCCTAGCAACAGCAAAAAACAACGTTTCATAACCGAGTAGGTTGAATATGATCGTCCGAGTGAGTATAGTTCTGAATAGTAGTGTTGTTGAAGTCACCTTCAGGGTCAAAGTGAGTTGTATCACGTCCGTTGATGTTACTAAACTCTGGTTATTGTTTGTACGGTGCCGGCAATTGTGCCGGCAACCGTTGACTACGATTCGGTGGCGTTTGTTCTAAGGAAGTAAACTAGTGGCATTTGTTTTAACTTAGAAAAAGGCCACTGAACCGTAGTCAACAGCGGCTAGGGGCAGTGCAAGGCTAGAGAAGATGGGGGAAGGTTTCACACTTTATACGAGAACGAAATAGCCGAACTATAAGTGAAAACATTATTTAAATAGAGTAGCTCTTTCAGTATTTTACAAGGTAACTATTTTACAAGACTGCTATCAATAGAGGTCCTCAAAACAAGGCACGAATAAACAAAAATGCCACTTATGGATGACAACTGATATTCTGCAAGAATAAATATCTCTGCATATCCTGAAACTACCGAATGTCAGACAGGCGCGACCCACACGATAGCTCAGGCTAGCTCTTACGTGATAAAATTGCTATGCTCTTGTTGCGTCCAATTTCAGTTTTTAACATATTGAAGTCCGGCAGCTCATAAAATAAATTCTGAATATACTTTTCTCAACCAAGCTGAGTCAGGAACATTTTTTAAACTTAACTGGTAACCTACGTTCGTATGTCTCCTGATCTTTTGTTGCACGCGCTATCAGTGAAAATTGTGGAGCTGTCTACAACAACTAAGACTCAAAAGCACCAAATAGTCTTGACTATTACCTGACACTGTGTATTATCTCGTCCATCTAAGGCCAGGTTCACCAAACCCGGGGATAAGAACACCAACACTTTCTTCGCTCTCCTTATTTGTCCCTCTGCCCACCGCGTGGGGCCCTGGGAAGTAATTTCTGCAGATACCATGACGTCCATGATGACGTTGTAGCCATTCTGCCGGAAGTAGTTCACGATGGATGCTACCTGCTTTCGAAAATCGTCTCCCTCCGGATAGTAGCAGGCGTAGTACACCTCTGCAAAGACAAGACAAACTACAGCTGACCGCTACATTTACCTAACCTCGTGCTAGATTACGGTCGGGTCTAACTAAGAACGTGCTCTTTGAAACCTGAGAAATTTCACGCAAGACCCGCAGTGCGAGACTCCAGAAAAGATCAGAAAGGTCTCATGGAGGGTGAAGGCCTTAAACTTTTAAAACAAACTGCTCAGATAACTCATATGCCTTCGTACTAAAAGCCTTCCTCACAATCCCATTGAAAAAAAATTACCTCGGAGAACGAATTTGGCTTAATTTACTACAAAACAATAAACTGGAAAAAAATCTGCTTTTTGTTCAGTTACAACCTACTAGGGACTATCATCCCGACGTTGCCTCACCAAGAGAACACCTTTATGAGCAAATGCCACCTAATCCAGCGTTTACAGAGAGAAATATACGAAAAGCCAACGCTTATCTCCTACATTCTTGTCCAAAGCAAAACTCTAATTACACTAGCACTCATAGGCGTAGGGGCCGGGAGGGCGAGGGGGGCTGCAGCCCCCCCAAATTTTGGGCAACTCAGATTTTTTGGGCAGCAAGAGAAAATTTGGGCAAAGCCAGGTTTCAAAGACGTTTCCATGTTTTTTTTTATTATTATTTTCAAGAGATAAATATTTTATATTTTAATCTGACAAAAATCCTGACGTCGGCGTAATAATCCAGTTACATTCTCTCGAGACATTGGTTGCCTAGCACGTGATGAGTTTCTGGTTATTAGGAAAGGGTATCATACGTTGATTTACATATTTATAGTTTTTTACTGTTGAGCATTGTACTGCACTGCACTAACTGGAATGGGCTCTTTCCAGTCGTGAATTGATTAGAATAAACTCCCGCATATCTTTCTAGAGTCATCTCCGCTTGTAGAGCAATGTATGGCAGATAGCATCAGCAATGGGTCTGAAAATGAAGAAGTGGCTGACTAGTTCTCAGTTCGATAACGGCCAAACATCAAGATTTTCCTTTTTTACCCCATTTCTAACGATAAAAACTTCATTCCAAAATATCCCAATAACACTCTCACATTTTCCGTTTTAACCTCACGAACGTCGAGGCTACTATTTGAGGAAAACGCTTTCGTGAACGATTTTGTAAGAACAGTTCCCTGTGCCGAGAAATATTACTGCAAGTAATATAGGCAATGGCCGCGTCATTTCGTTGCTATGACAACTCCGATGTCATTGCATTCCTGATCATGACAAATTTTCATCTTTATCTAATAAAACTGTGGTGGCAATTTTTCCAAATGTTTGTCTATGGCGACGTAGTTATGCTCGGAATTGGGAGGTATTGACCCTGAAAAACTGTTACAGTATCGAGCCACCTTCATATGCCAGTGCGGCCTATGTTGTTGCATCGTATGACCCTTGTTTCTTTTCGACTGTACGTTTCGTAAAAATTCGGGCAACTTGCGAGCATTTTTTGGGCAAATGGTTTACCGCCCCCCCTGGCAAAAAATTTCCCGTACTCCTATGCTAGCATTCTACCGAGCTTGTAACATGCTGTAAATCGTGTTTGGCCTTTCAACACTTCGACTTGAACAGCGGATGTGCGTGGAAAAGGTCAGTGATCTTTTAAGACCGCTTAGGCCCAGAAATTTTGTCCACTTTCAGGCTGAAATGGAAATTCTTGCATCGTGCGCACACATTTGACAGTTCTAGTCCGGTGATTGGATTTTAAAATCCCCTCTTGAAAGTTTTAATAAAATTCCTGATGGTTGTGAAAATATTCTGCTGGTTTCATGGTCGTTTTAAAGACGAAAATGAAATCGTTGTGAAATTGAAACAGATGCAAACTACTGTTCTATTTATACTTACCTTTAGGATTATCTGGCCTGAATGGGGCTGGCGAAGGAATGCTGTACAATGTTGGATCTGAGTTGAAATTGTATTACTGTTTTTCAACAATCAATTATTCCAAAGAAAACATAGAATGCATTAAAACAGTTTTTTTTAAGCCTGTGTGTTTGTTTCATGAACGATACAACGCCCTGACTCCAGCGACACCACCATGTATAGACACCAGGAATCTATTTTTCTACAAAGCCTTATTACAAGCTATCATGCTCAAAAAAAAAAAAATGAAAAACTGATTATAAAACAGGCATATAATTAAACAGCAAGATATTATATTTGTCAGACTGTGTAAAAGAGTAACTAAAAAAAGAACATTTGCCTCTAGTAAGCCTTGGACGTACCAGGACATTGTCGTTTCTTCCTACACCTGAATGCAAGATATATAAGCAGTAACAGCAACAATCCAGCCATTATTCCTACGACTGAAGTAGTCACAAGTTTAGACGCGTCTGCAAAGTTAAAGACCATATGAGAGTTGAATCAAAGTCGGACCAAATTGGCCTTTTTCGGATAGCCATTCACGTGGTACAAAACCCGCCGCGCTGGAGAGTAAGGGGCGCACTAGGAAAAGACAAACAAAGTAATTACCATGTTAAATGATGTGTGGCCTTTGTATCTCTTGTCCCATTGCTTTTCTTACTCTCCAGTATGGCGGATTTGTAGCGCGTTAAAGACTAGCTGCAACAGGCCTATTTACTGAATGCTCATTAAGTCTAGGAGCCATGCACGTTGTAGGTTCTCATCATGTTAATATAGCACTGTGAAATGGCAGCTTCGCTGCGTTACAGACATCACCACCGAAATCAACAACAGAAGCGCTATCTCCGATTTTAGTGCCGGCGCAAGAGCTACACACTCCATCGATCAAGTTTCCATGTTTACTTCGAAAGCCACTGGAAAAATTAAAACAATTAAACAAACCAAGATAGGCGCATTAGAATACATTCATTCCGACATGTACTGCACGTAACAATAGAAGTTAAAATCTAGATGTAGCCTACCTTTACCAGAAATGTTGGGAGAAAAGGTTGCTCTCGTAACTGTCGATAAAATAGAAATTAAAATTTAAAATAATTATTTTAAGAGTAACGTCCATTTTGCTACAAGTAGCTATAGTCCAGTCAGAGGCAGAGAAGATTAGAGACCTTTTGATTCGAGGGCGAGGACGACTACGAGAAAGATATTTTAATCTTTAAGTTTTTTCGCGTATTCTCCAAAAATCACCCCGGAAAGCTACATCAGTTGTACTTCTTTTTCACCAGAGAGGTTAGCACGGTAAGTTATTTTTATTGAAGGAGGTTAAGCCCTCTTTTAATCTCACAGTGACAAAATTAGTTTAACATTTGACAACTTGTTCCCCCATTACGACATTTTCGCTAAAACTAGTGAAATGACGACGGCTATCACGTTTTCCCGCCCATGACGCTGGTTAAGGCGTGAGCAATACTCAGTAATGAACTCGTAATCGTTCTCGTCTTAGAATCTAAAGGACTAGGCTGTATGATTCTGTTGTTGCATCACTTAAATTGCTATAAGGTAACCCTTACAAACTTCAACTGTAAAGGAATACATGATGTAAAATTTTATTACCTTCAGGGGTAAATAAGCTTAGTTGAACCGAGCTATCTCCATTATAAGGATGTGTAACAACCTACATGTAGGATGAATAAAGTGAATAGAATGAATAAAACTATAGAGCACGGTGGTGTAGGGCAGAGTAACTATTCACTAGTAACTAGGGCGTTACTTGTAACACATAGGAGCAACAACATAGTTAACCATTCGCTGGTCCTTTTTATTAGAAAACTTATGAAGTGCCTGTAATGCTCTTCAAAAGGAGTGATATTATAGTAGTCCAAGCGGAAAGTGAAAATAAAGAAAAAAAGAAAAGAAGGGGCTCTCTTCTAGAGGAAATCGGACATTTTCGACAAATTAAGTAATAAAATTCCGGGATCTCATTTGAAAAAGCGGATGCAAATTCATGAAGTAATATATCAAACATGAGATGCAGTGTTTCATCACCAGATGAAACACCGAGAAGAGAGTTGAAAATACGACGCTAAGCGGAGTATTTTTGACGAACTTCGAGGTGTTTCATCTGGTGATGAAACACTGTGTCGAATGTTTGATATTTCTTCTCAAACAAAATCATTTTTGAAGGAGAAATTAAGGATGCAAATACTAAGCAGTGTTTCAGCCGCTTTCCAAACACTCATTAAACATTAATTAATCCTTTGTATTTTCTTAATGAATTATTAATGTGTTTGAGAAGGAGGAGGGAAAATTCGCGGTGCAACATAGCATTTTTTTAGAGACTAAGTATTTGAAAATTTTCCAGACTCAAAAAAAAAAAAAGACATAAAAAGGAGAGATACATATTTATCTGAATATTTCTGTGTTAATAAAACTGTTTACAGTGTTGAGTGCGCTTATGTTGCGAAATGTTGGTAACGACCCAAAGATCAATGTGCGTTGGTTGGAAGGCTGAAGTGAATTCGCGATACGTCTTGTTTTTGAACTTTTAGGATTGTTCGCAAATACTGTCACCATTTTCGTTTGGCTAAATTTGCCTGAGTAGTTTGGTCTCCCTCTATTTACCACACAATCCACAATTTCTTGATCTGTGGCTAGCACTCAATACGTCCGATTTTCACTACGGTCCACTAACGTAGCAGGCCGGTTGCGGATGTTGCGGCGAGGGGGGCTGTGTTTTGTGCAACTCAGATTTTTTGGGCAGCGAGAGAAAATTTGGGCAAAGCCAGTTTTTAAAGACGTCTCCATTTTATTTAATTATTTTAAAGACCTGAATATTAACCTGAAGTCGGCGTAATAATCCAGTTACATTACAGTGGTTACTTAGCATGTGATGAGTAATTTACATATTTGCAGTTTTTTTTGGTTGGGCACTATACTGCACTGCACTAGCTGGAATGGGCTATTTCCTGTCGAGAATTGATTAAAACAAACTTTCGCATAACTTTCTAGAATCATCTCCACTCAACGAACAGTGTATGGCAGATAGCATTTAGCAATGGGTATTGCCTGCATAGCAAGCGTTTCCGCGCGAGTTCGACTGGAAACGCTTGCTACGCAGGCTACAATGGGTATGAAAATGAAGAAGTGGCTGACTAATCCTCAGATTGAATTACGAGAAGTATCTTAATTCGTTTAAAAAATCTATCGAGCGGTTTAAAATTATTCGCTAACTTGTTAAAGTAGACCGAAATGTTTACAAAACCGCTAACAAGAGTGTCTCGATACATACTAATCAAATCCTTCTTTCGATTCTAGCAATCAAGCAGAGTTATCTCCACGATCTTTCACACATGTTTTTAAAAAGATTAAAACTACTATGAGGTGAAATTACAGGTCAAAAGCGCTTCGTTTTCTACAGATAACAGCCAAAAATCAAGATTTTCCTTGTCTTACCGTATTTCTAATAATAAAAACTTCATTGCAAAATATCTCGATAACGCTCTTAAGGTTTTGCTTAAACTTCACGAACATCGAGGCGACCATATTGGAGAAAAAAGCTCCTGTGAACGATTTTGTAAGGTTCCCATCCCGAAATCATTGCTGAAGTAAAATAGGTAATGGAGTCATTTCGTTGCTATGACAACTCCGATGTCATTGCAACCCTGGTGATGACAAATTTTCATCTTAATACAACTGTGGTCGCAATTTTTCCAAATGTTTGTTTATGGCGACATAGTTTATGCTCAGACTTGGTATTGACCCTGAAAAACTGTACCGAGCCACATTCATATGCCACGACGGCCTATGTTGTTCGAATATGGCCCTCATTTTCTTTTCGACTCTTTCGTAAAAATTTGGGCAACTTGCGAGATGTTTTTGGGCAAACGGTTTACCGCCCCCCCCTGGCAAAAAATTTCCCGTACGCTTATGGAAATTTCAAACCGGAATTTTTGTTGAATGGAAAGCGCCCAATGACTTTTTTACACATGAAACCAGCACTTTGAACCCTCTTATGTTTATCTTTATTGTATGTAAACTCCTTTTACATCTTAAGTGTTTAAAACATACCGAAACGTAGAAGGGATCAGGATATGAAAAATGTCCCTGTGGCACCATGTAGAACGTTTGGTTCTGCAGATTGAACAAAATACTGGTAACCTCATCAAACTTAGAATTATAAAAACAACGTTTTTATTATTTATATCTGTCTTGCGATGTTACCTTATTATAGGAAAGTAACGCTCCTGGCCTTTTGAAGTTAAGGTATTGGAAATTGGCGCCACTGAAATTGGGAAACGACCTCCAAATAAAGAAAATTAACCCGAAAGAAAGGGTAACATTTCGAAATGAAGGAAATTAACGCGCCGTTCACGAAGAAACAAAACTTGTTGAGGCAACGCAAACTAAGTTGAACGTATAATCTATTAATGGAAACTTTTTTCGTGCTACTTTCCCTGGATGTGCAAAGTGGCTCAAGCGAAAAAATCTGGCCACTTCGAGGGTTCTTCACAGTTTTAGTGTTACTAACGCCACGGATCTCCATCCTGATAAACACGCCATTGCAAAACGTATCTTTTTTCGTCCCTCCCACGAGGCGAAGTAATATGGCTACCACCCTCTACCAGTCAGTACCTATTAAGCAGGCACCACAAAGGCTCCATGGGTTTTGAAATTGGTTGAAGGAACGGTTACCAAGTGCTTCCCGCGCAAAGCATTGCTGCGGCTTTTACAGAACTGTAAATGAGCCCAATTCTGTGGTCGATTTCCAACTGGAACATTGATTTTTGCTGTGTTGATGATTTCCACAGGTATAAAGGGTAAGGTCAGCGAATTTATTCATAAACACTTTTCCAGAGCAAGGGGTTAAGCGAGGGAAGTGTGAACAGACAAAATGGCGCGCTGGCCGTTCCGAAGGCCGTCGATAAAACCCGGAACACGGAACATTCCGGAACATGCCGGAACATTCCGGAACATCCCGGAACATCCCGGAACATGAAAAAATAAAAATAATTTTCATGAAAAAAAATATTATAAAATAATAATAATAAAATAATTTTTGTAAAAATTAATAATAAAATAAAATAACAAAAGAAAAACGATAAATAATCAATTAATCAAGAAAAAGAAACTGATTTCCTCTGTGAGTATGAGAAAACAATATTTTGTCGCAACAAATTAAAATTTGTTGGGCGAGTGAGGGTTCATGCAAATGACAGTAACGAGTGAAGGTTTGCTTCTAAATTCAAAATATATTAAAATGGGTCGCGAGGAGGGGGCTTTTTTAAGCTTTCCTCACACAGTTACCTCTTGTAATTGTTTGCCGTGAGTTAATTATTTGGCGGTTATCCATTTACGGTTCTGCAATGGTCTGAAATGTCGGTGCAGTATTTCATGTCAAGCCAAGTCGGTAAGTAGCTCATTTCAAGTCAACATATAGCTCCTTATTTAAAACCGACATTTGCTTACTTGAGGTGCTTTGCTTTCTTGAACATGAATTACTTACAGACAAGGCGGCTCTGTGAACTTAAGAAGAGTATAGCGGCTCCTGTCTTTGGATTTTAGTGGACAATACTCACATTCGTAGTAGTTTCTATACTGTTTACAGTCAGCATGATATCTCAGAAGTCTCCTCTAGTCGCAGGAGGAGTTTGCGGCGAGACGGCTAAAATTCAGGCTAACTGATAACAGTTAGAAACTACCGCTGCCACTGCAACTATTCACGGTGAATCTGAATCTTTAATTTAATTATCCAAGTCCAAAGCGACAAAGCCGTAAATGGATAACCGTTAAACCACATGGCAAACCTTTACAAGAGGTGGCTGTGTTACGAAAGCCTGAAAACCCTCTCCTCGCGACCCATTTTAATATATTTTGAATTAAGAAGCAAACCTTCACTCATTAGGGTGACCAGGGTGAGTAGGATGACTGGGGACTGTCATTTGAATGGACCCTTACTCGCCCACTGCAAAAAATTCATTGCAACAAAATATTGTTTTCTCATACTCGGAGATGATACCAGTTTCTTTTTCTTTCTTTCTTGGTTTGTTTCTTTATTTTTCGTTTTTATGTTATGTTATGTTATTTATTTTGTTATTATAAATTTTTGCAAAAATTGTTTTCTATCTATTGTTCCTTTTATTATTTATTATTATTATTATTTAGTTTTATCGACGGCCCGTTCCGAATGCTTGCAACATTTGTACGTTCTTGAACCACGGAGTTGTACACTAAGTTGTACAAAAAAGAAAATACAGTGTTTTGGCACCAAGGATGCTATAACAAACACTAAACGAAGTTCCACATGAGTTTGCAAGCCAAGAGAGCTTACTTGGATGTATGTCCCTTTCTTTTATATACTATTTATTAAAGTCGAAGTGATCTTTAACAAGATGCAAAAAAGTTCTTAGTTAAATTACGGCACAGAAGGGAAGGGAGCGAATAAAAATTTATGTCCTTTTCGATTTGGAAGCGAAGGTATTTGATAAAAAGTTGTTGAGAGGTTTATGGTTCACCAACCTTTGGAACTACTTTGCAACTGGCTTTTTTCTTTTTGCCAACTTGATAGATCACTGCATAGTCCGTCCAGTTGAAACCTGGCAACAAATCATAATATCATTTATCCTTAACTTACACTGCCAGCATTATTGATTTAAGTTCATAACATATTGTAAGTTGTGCATTCTTCAGCCTTGTGTTTTTTTCAAAGGGATGAATTTGTTTTTAGCCTTTTGGTATTAATCTGACTGTTCTTCCACAGAATGTCCCATTTCAAGCTGAATGCCCACAAAGACCTCCCATCTCCGCAGACAATTAAGTTGTAGTGTTAATTCATAATTTGATATTTGTAGAAATATGTGAAAAACGAATATATATTAAACTAAATATTAAACAGAATTATGTTAGTTAGGCCATTCCCTTTTTTTCTTTATTTACCGTCAAATGCGTTTCCTGATATTGGGTCGGTAGGTCAGATTGAAAAAAAGAAAAAAAAACTAAAAAAAATCACAAGAAGTCTCGGAATAGTAGGCCCTGGTACCCCAGGACAACGTTAAAAGTTAACATTCACATATTTGGATTAACAAAATGTACAATATACTGTGAAAAATGTTCATGTTTTTGTTCCTGTTTTTCTCTGAGCTGTTACGATGCTCATTTTTCAGATTAAAAGAATTATTTCAAGTGAAAAATGGTGTAACTACGTCGTTACTTTTTTTTTTGAAAATGCCAAAAATTTGGGTTGGTCATACGACAGTAAAATGGACAAACAAAGGAGGATGGCCTTAAAAATCATGTAACTGTTGGTTTCTAGGACAAAGTAAATGGTACTAATAATGTATGCTTTACAAACCTGTATCTGAGGGATCTATTGCCTTCCAGCTGACTTTAATGTGAGTCCTATTTGTCTCAAAGTCAACTGACAGGCCTTCTGCTTGTTTAGGTGCTGGATAATTTGGTGCCATCTTGCATTCTTAAGAAGGTATAAGAGACAAAAGTTCAGTTTCATACCTTAGATTAAACAGGAAAATTTTTGTTAAGTCATGTAAAGTAGTTTAAAACAGAAGTACGTTAGTGTTCCTGATGAAAGTGGCCGTCAGACATTGCATATGAATAGGCTACTTGTACTGTAAAGAAAATGATATATCTATAATAATATTATTAAAGCATGTTTTCACTCTGCTTGTTTTCATTCTGGCAAGCTTCCTACAGATAATTGTTTTGTTAACAGCTTATCGTTATGAGAGTTAATAATAATAATAATAGTAATAATCATAATATTAATAATGATGATGATAATAGTGATATTGATAACCTAATTAATTATTAAGAAAAAGAACATACCATTCAGTACAGTCATCCTTGGAACAGTCCGTCGAGTAAGACTAAGAGTTCTCTGTGTCACTGGTTTTCTTAAACCCTTTGCTTGATCTACAGGAAAGTTAGAATAACTCAGATTATATTTTGGGGGGAAATGGTTTTCAGCCTCTTCAGGGATGAAGCTGACTTACATAGATCTATGTACCTCTCATGCTTAAAGACCACTTTTTCAGTACTAGCCTAATTGGGTTTTGTTCAAGTTAGGGTGTCATATGAGAAAGGAAAGAGATAACAACAACATTGAACAGCAGTGACAGTGACATTAACTTGATGACAACTATTGATGAGGTTGTCAATTACAAGAGTCGAGAGAGGTAGAGCGGTTTTCATTTGACTGTCGAAAGGGATTGGTTTTGGTTTTGGTTTTACTACGCCCTTTGGTTGGCTAGTGTATTTACTTTGGTTTTGGTTTTACGACAGTCAAGTGAAAACCGCTCTAACATGACAGCAATAACAATGACAATGACATTGTCATTGTCATTGTAATAATGACAATAGTCCTTCACTAATTGTATGATTCAGTGGCTCCAAAATCCAAGTGATATCACATGCACTGTTAGCAATCCGAACTTGATCTGTTAAATTCTGTCACCCTTCAGCTAGCAGGGGCTTCTTTCTGATATGTTTTACTGCAATTGTTCATAGTCGATTCATATTTGTCCCAGAGTGGAACTTAAACAACCTAACTACTCATTATGTCAAAACAACTTTCATGTACTGTACCATGTTTTATTGCAATTGCTCTTAGTCGGTTCATATTTGTCCCCGAGTAGAAGTAAACCAACCAAACTTCTCATTATGTCACAATGACTTACATGTATTGTACCACATTAAAAGCCACAGCAGAGAGAAACTGCTAGAAGAGGGTGCTTTTCTGTCTTCTTACAATAGGCATTCTTTTTACAATATGTGACAATTAATTATTACACATTTTGAGAATGGTAGATTAAGCAATTGTATGTTTTAAGTAGTAAAAAGCACTTCTTTTGTGGAGGTAATTAAAAGCCATTTAACGGCTGCTCACTTGAGAGGCTCATTATGTTAAAGCAACATGCAGTAGGGATAAAACCCATTTGTCTGTTACTTATGATGGGATGTAAGCAGCTATGAATTGTTTGTGTTAGAACAAAGTGCTGCTGCATGTTACCTACTGTAGAATATGTAAAACTCAATTCAGAATTTATCTCAACTCTCTCACCCCTAGCGACCAAAGTGAGTTTGACAAAACTTCCAATTTTTTTGTAAAATGACAAAAGACAAACAGTATGAAGTGAAAATACTGCTGAGAAGTCATTTGGATGGGGGGTTACACCCTTAGGATTTAATCCATAAGCAGAGCAAAAAAATTAGAACGACCAAAGGCTTTTCAAAAAAAAAATTATTATAGGGTAAAAGAAGTTGCAAGCTAACCATGTAAGAAGAAGTTTGTTACATAATAAATTCAGTAGCATGTATATTACCTAATGTTGATTCCTTTTGGCAGCTTTGCATACACTCTTTAAAAATAACCTGGAAAAAATATGGCCAATAAACAAGAGCATTGTGTATCCTTTAAAGGGAACTTCCACTCTTACTACAGAATAAGTTTAAATCGAATAAAATTATGTTGATAAACAAATTTGTTCGAAATTTGTCTTAAAAAAAGTGTTTATATCAGGAAAAGTGAATTTTAAAATCGCTTATTTTCACTTTCAAATTTCGCGGGCGCCGCCATCTTAAATAATTGTGACGTGCTACGGTTGGTATATTGTTCTGACACAAAGAGCTTTTGTTTAATAACAATAGGGCAACCATTACACGTCACAATTATTCAAGATGGCGACGCCTGCAAAATTTGAAAACAAAAATAGGCGAATCTAAAAGTTATTTCTTTCGGATACAAACGCTTTCTTTAAAAATATATTAGATTGACTTGACTCTAACAGTTATTTCCTGTGATTTAAAGTTAACTTTTTGTTGAAGTGGAGGTTCCCTTTAAAAAGGACTGTCTACTGATCATGATACACTTGAAGTTTTTTGTTTTACTTAAATGTCAGTGGCTGGGTTACTATAGTTGTTTTCACATGGATCAATGCATGTCAATGAATATTGATTGTTATTCATTAGAACTCGTGGTGGTCTCATCAGAAAAATTATACCTGGTCGCTTAACACTGAGAGGACATTAATTTTTTAGTCGCTTATAGATGTTGTTGAAATGAGGTGTAATAAAGCTTTTGGAAGGAGACTGCTATCTAAGAGAAGTTCAGCTATTAAAAATTTCATGACCCCCATAGGGCTTTCTTCAAAGAGCTGTTAACATATTATTTCTTGTGCTCTGCAGATAAGCTTTGGAAGAGAAAAAATAGCGACAGAATTTTATATTTTATTTTGACCATGTTTTGAATTAATTTATATATACTTAGGTGTTAAATTTGTTAGTATGGTGAAAAAAGGCTGAGTAAAAAAAAGTATAGCCAAGTCATTATAAATTAAATAGTGTTAATTGACAATGGAAATTTATAGCAGATCTGATACAAGCATTACTCAGGAAATTATTGCAAACCAGTGTGCAACAAATATGGATGTACTAATGATATTGTGTGCACTGATGAGACAGATGAGCCAGTGAACTAGGTGCATGAATAGCATCACTTGGCTTCAATTTTATCCCAGCAGGATTTGCATGGTGGTAGTATTTAAAATGATTAAGTAAACAAACGTGGGGTTCACCTGCTTACAACTATGGTAGTTGTCAATCAGACTATAAGAAACAACTTCCATATTCTGCAAGGAACGTAGTAGCACCAAGTCCAATATTATTTGGCTGAGCCAGTGTTGTACACATTTTTTTTCTGCTCTAAATTCGGTTTCTGACTTGTACTTTCGAGGCACTTGCGTTGTTGTATGTGATGATTAAATATTCAGTTTTCTTCAAAAAAGTAAATAGATGTCGAAAATACAGAAAGCAAAGTGCTTTATGTCTTTGTGGTACCATTATTCACTTATGAACTGCGTAAATGCAGTATTTGAAAAGTGAAAATCCACTCTGAATTGCCACCTTTGGCAACGTTTTAGTAGAAGGAATCTCCAGTTAAAAGCTTTTTACTCTGCCCTCAATTAACATATTTGCCTTTGAAATAAATTGCCAAACAAACTATGGAAGAAAGGTATAAATTCCTATCATCTAAATATATTCAAAGTATACGGACAACGACGAAAGAAACAAGGTCTTTTTTTATTGGGCAAAGTGTTCTTAAGATGTATTACGTGAAGGTTTTTAAGAATGTAGGTATAGAAAACAAAAAATAGTCTAAATTTAAATCTTTATTGAATGCAGGTAAATGTGGTATAGCGCATTTATGTCAACACCGTAGGCACGAGAATAAAACATGTTTGCTTCCTATATCATATTTTGTTATAATACCAAGCTAGCGTAAATGGCCCCCTATGTTGGGAGATCAGAACAGTTTCAACATATAAATACATGTATCTTTTACTGAGGTGTCCCATTATTTTGTGTGCGTTTGCATTTTTTGTTTTATAGTAAGTCATGCGGGAAAACGGGAGATACATGTCGCGAATAATTTATGGTTAATAACGAGAGGAAGCCCTCACGTATACGGCCAAAAAGAGTTGGAAATCCTGATGTCGAAAACTAAGGTTGCGAGAATCTCTTATTTAACCTTAAGCAAAGCTTCCCTTTTGTGATTGAATTAGTGTTTTCCTCTCACACAAAAACGTGTATGTTTCACGCTCATTATCACATCAAGGGCCGAAGTCACGACATCGACCTCTGCTAAATAAGTCTGTTGCTTGTGTATTTTGAGCCAGACGATAAAAACTTGGGTTTAAATGCAAGTTACATGGACTAACCTTAGCTTCCTTGGCACAGCGGTCAAAACAAACGGACCTTAAACGTTTCGGCACGTAGGTTTGTTCATCTTGCGCCTTTCCAAAGGTTTCAGCCGTTATTGTCTGTGGGATTGTTTGCCCAACATGAGTGTAAATTATTACATGTAAAAGGGCAACTCCATGAACAGGGAAACCACTAGGCATAACAATCGTCAAGCAAAACACCACATAGTTTGCTGAAAAGTTCCTATTCGAGCTATTCCAAGTTGTGCAGCACTACTTGTTGCCAGCAGTAGAACGGAAATTGTATATGTCAGAAGACATGTGCCCCACTCGTTTCAGTGCAGTGTCTTGATGACAATAGACACTAAAATAATTCATGGTAGTCAACCTATCAGGATCCAAGAGTCTGTGGATGACGTCATAGCTGTCACGAAGAGCAAATAATATCACTCGGCGAGCTAAAAAAGGACAAACGAACCCGTTCGCCTGAACACTTCCTGTATTTAGTGTGGTGTAAGTCAGTGCAAAATGGGCCTTAATTACTTTCCACAGTCTGTCGTAATAGTGAGATTAGAATGCTACAGTTAAGTCGTGATTTGCTGTTCGGTGTGATGCTGCGCTCTCAGTAGAGGCCCGGATTTCTAAATGAGTGAGTGTAGATTCGGTCCCTGGATCGATCGGGGTGCTTTCTGAGAATAACCTTGTCTAAATAATTTAACGCGAAGATTTTTACAAAGTTAAACGAAGCACTTATTAAAGCTGAACTGCCGAAACTATTGACGTCTGAGAAAAAAGCCGTCCTTGTCTGCCCTTGATGTAGTTCCGTAGACACTATAGAAAGCGCCATACATTCCAGAATCACTTATCCTTAGCCTTGCGTTTGGGCGGTTTTACTAATGATACTCCCCACGAGTGTTCAGAAAGTATAATCATGATCGTACATTGTACATCCAAAAAATATAAAAGCAACTGAATACCGTAAAATTCCGAAACTCCATGTATAAGCACCTCCGAATATAACAGAATATAAGTCCCTCAAACCCGTAACGCAAAAACCCATCCGTTAAATGGCCCCTCCGAATATGAGCACCCGCCGGGGACTTATACTTGAAAACAGTGCCCTCAAATACAAAGCCAAACAAAGAAAAAACGGTAAATTTCCCTCCAAGTATAAGCTAGCGTAATCGATTTTTAAACGCAAATTTCCTAAGCCCCCTCGAATATATGCCCCTTCAAAAATAAGCCCCTCAAAAACGGCCTTTAAAAAATATAAGTCCCGGGGCTTATTTTCGGAATTTTACGGTATGAGTTATTTTCGAGCCTAGCACTGATCAATTACTCTGACACTATCATTTCAGGAAGACATTTCCGCCTCCTCGAGGAACACCGGTTTCCAAAGTTATTTTTATTTCGTTTGGCATTTGCCCAATAAACCATGTTCGTGTAGTGATTGCGGTGTTTTATTTTATTTTTTTCTGAGTGTACTGCTTGGTGTGTATTTGTTTCTGTCAGTTTCTGTTAGCGCTTTAGAGTATGAAAAAATTAAACACAACCCTCAGCTAACAGCGCTAAAGGCTATTCAGTGCTTCCTCTAAGAAGAGCATAGGTTAGACCGAGTATTTAATACGCTTTGTGAGGATCGTACTATAACAGGACTTTATGGACCTATCAGGCAGGAGCCCTCCCGGGTATGACAACGCAAGACCCTCCCCTCCCCCGATCAGGTGCGTTGTGGAATTTCCGCACTAACACAGTGGTACTGTCGCAATTTGTAATAATCATCGCATTTTGTAATACTTGTCGCAATTTGTAATCAATCCATCGCACTTTGTAATACCTATTGCAATTTGTAATAAACCGTGTTGCACTTTGTAATAAAAAAGCTGTCGCAATTTGTAATAATTCCATCGTACTTTGTAATAATTTTTGAGAGTGATTCAACTTACTTCGTCAACATTAATGTAATGCCAAAATATGAATGGTACTTCATAAACAAAGATAATGACGTCTGTAAGCACGTAAATTACTTATATAGTTTACAACGTATCTCCTCTCATTCAAGCCAATTTACGGTCCTAAACATTTTTTTTTTAATTAATGTTGATTAGTTATCTGACTTACAAGTCCTGTATTCTTAAACCTTGCTACTGTACTAGGTGGTTTGCATGCTATGATCACCCGGGGGAAGGGCATGCTCCCTTATATGGCCTATGGACAGAGCACTGTCAGAGAAAAGAATCTAGACACACTATACTAGACACAAACGAGCCGTTATTAAAAGGCATTTAATTTCCACAAATCGTAACATCCATCCTTACATCATTCGACTAAGGACACCAGGAAACTTCAAGCTTTCCTTTTCAGATCTTATAACAGGTCGACACAACACCGTCCTTGTGTAACGCGCAATCTTAAAAGAAGTAATAGTGGTTTCTATATTTTGGCCAACTTCATCAGACCAGGCCTGGAAAAACTCAAAATGTTTACTGTAAATAAACAAAAGCGTCACCAGTGGCAAATCGTCGAACCACAACAGAAACATAAACAGAAAATCCAATTATTCACTTTCGAATACCTTTGTATGTACCTAATTTTATAAAACTCACTTGGGGTCACACACTGAGCCGGCTGGCCATTTGGTCCATTATTCTCTCTTGATTTGGTCCCATATAGGAACAAAGGAAGTACTCATTCCATCTTAAAACGATTCTTTTTTTATGGAGCCCTCTAATAAAGCAAATGCCGTGTGCGTACAACTCGTAAGACCTTGCAATTCTTCCGAGCGTGTTCAGGATTACTTTTTTCCCACAAAATGGAAAGGATAATAGACCATCCATTACTACTTGAGTTAGATAGGGCCTATCTAAAGATCAAAGCAAAGATACAAAGCCAACAGGGTAAAAAATGATGCCCTGTTTAAGGTTCGAGATCCTCAAAAACCATAGGCTATCAGGGGATGCATACCTACTATACCTGCCAACTTTCTCTGAGATATAAGCGTGAGATTTTTATTCTGGGAGTGCTGGGATTTTTGAAGACGACACGATCATTTCCGAAGATTCCCGAAGAAGTACGAAGTCTTCCGAAGAAGTCCGAAATCTTCCGAAGATGTCCGAAGTCTGCCGAAGGCGAAGTTTTCACTTGCTTTTCACTTCAAAAATCAGAGATCGCGAGGAAGGTATTGTCATTTATTCATTTTACACATGGTTTTCGTTCCTTACACGGGTCTGAGTTAACATATTTTTGGAAATTACATACATACATACATACATACTTTATTGACTTTCCCAAGGGGCTTTTCAAAGACAATACATGATCCTATTTACAATTAAAAAATGTTTTAAAATATATATAAAATTACAATTCTTTAAGTAATTTAGTACGTAAACGAGTTTTAAAAACATCAATCGAGTTACACAGTTTAAAGGAATTGTCTAAGGAGTTCCATAAGTTCACAGTTCTATAGAAAAATGTTCTCTGACCGGCAGCTGTTCTAAAAAAGGGAATTTGTAAAAGCTGTGAATTTCTGGTGCTACGTCGGCTAACCTCTGCTCGCTTTATGAATTTTGATGTAAGGTATTCAGGGGCTTGACCGGTCATACATTTAAAAGCCATTGTAGCGTTCCGGTAATAAAGCTGACTGGGAACTGAAAGCCAATTTAGCTCCTTGCGAATTGGTGTAACATGGTCAAATTTACGCGCGCCGCTAACAATGCGGCATGCGAAGTTCTGCACTGCCTGTAACTTGTTGACATTACATTTTGAGGTATTTGACCAAACATTGGAGCAATAAAATAACCTGCTAAAAACTAAGGAATTGATAATCATCAAAAGTGTACGTTTGTCGAAGACATGCTTGACACGGTTTATCTGGCCAAGGCGGGACATGCACGAGGAAGCGGTTTTAATTATATGTTCATCGTAAGTTAAATTAGAATCCAAAGTCACACCAAGGTCTTTGGCGGTGTCTGTAGGGACAATGTCCTTACCCATAAAGGAAAGGTGAGGAAATTGGAATTTTGCACGCATCTGCCTTCTGCCAAATATCATCAACTTGGTTTTGCCAGGGTTTAGTAACAATTGATTGTTGGAACACCATTCCCCTATTTTAAACAGGTCGTCTTCCAAATCAGCAATTGCATCCAGGTTGGCTTTAAGCTCGAAGGAAGTGATGAGTTTCGTATCATCTACATAACTCTGGGTGCTGCATTTCTGTGGGATCAATGGAAGATCGTTCGTATATATGCTAAAAAGAAGTGGGCCCAAGATGCTTCCTTGAGGAACGCCACTGGTCACAGACAAAGGCTCAGATAGCGTTGAATAGATTCGTACTACTTGTGACCTGTTGCTTAGGTAACTACGAAACCATTGGAGAGTGTCACTGGAAATTCCGACATCTTGCAATTTTAAAATTAACGTGTCATGATTGACACTATCAAAGGCTTTGCTCATATCTAATAGTACAACTGCCGTTAACTTCTTTTTATCGATGGCGTTAAGAATTGTGTCTGTTGTTTCAATGACAGAAATTGTGTCAAGCAAGACGGTAACAACTCACATTTTTCAATCAGGCGTGAGAAATTGGCCCGCAAGCGTGAGCTGGCTTGAGATCGAAGTTTTCAACCCGCAGGCGTGAGAGTTGGCAGGTATAACCTACCTACCCCACATAAGGGATTATCTCCTTTGACCTCCCGAAGACTTCACGTGTCACGTAGCAAGCAAACATGGATCTGGATTTTGACGATGAATGCCAGGTTATTCATGAATTTTCTGTTGTTAAATGTTGCTTTTGTTACTCAAATATTTTTTATTTCAAATATGTGAAGTGATCTTTTCTTGGTGACATGTCACAGGAAGTTTCATGTCTTTCATAAAAGCGATTTTCGTTGGCCACGTGATTAATTAAGGCAAAAAACTTTATAGCGGAAGACAGCATGTTTGACCAAAGAAAATAATTTAGGTTTATAACAAAGTGCGATGAATTATTACAAACAAATTAATTTATTACAAATTGCGACAGCTTTTTTATTACAAAGTGCGACACGGTTTATTACAAATTGCGACAGGTTTTACAAAGTGCGATGATTATTACAAATTGCGACAGGTGCATTGCGTGCATGGGCTCTCGATCGATAATCAGTTCGATGAGCAATATCCAAAAGCTATGATTGTGAACCTAATTTGCCACCCGTGATAACAACTGCTAATGAAATGGTATTCTCTCGAAATTAGGGAATAATTTCACTTAGGCTCCGGATATTATTAGGATTTGGACAAAACGCGCGTGAAATTATTCCCTGATTTCACTCGTCACCATTTGATTACACATACTTATTGACCTCGTCCGTTCGGTCATTACAGGGAAATCTCAGACCAGCTGGGCCTTGATGTATAGATCACCTTCAAGGGAAATAGGAAAAAGTTCGAGTTATCGAGGGTAAAATTATACATTAGAAAATGATCTGAAGGGAAATGAAAATTGCTTCGAGTTAGAGGGAGGTTCGAGTGGCTCAATAGGATTTTTCAAGGTCAATACCTCCCAGGTTTGAGTATTATCTACGTCGCCATTAACGAAGACTTGAAAAAATTACCCGGCCACAGCTGTATTAGATAAAGATGAAAATTTGGCAGCATCAGGGTTACAACTGACATCGAAGTTGTCATAGCAACTAAATGATGCCATTACCTATTTTACTCGCAGCCGTATTCCTCGGCACTGGGAACTGTTCTTCCAAAATCGTTCACGGGAACTTTTTCCTCCAATGGCCGCCTCGATTTTCATGAAGTTTGAGTGAAATCCGTGAGAGCGTTATCGAGATATTTTGGGATGAAGTTTTTATGGACCGGTCATTTTATTATCGCCACGGGAAGTGGGGGCGGAGGGGGGAAGGTGGAGGATTTGGGGCTAAACAAGGTGAAATTTAGTCGATCCCCCCTTTGACTGTTACTTTACCGAAGTGATCCCCCTAATAACATTTGATGACTTTCGTGCTCCCCCCCCAATGTCTTCATTTTCCAAGCAAATTTGAGTGGTCCCCAGTCTGAGTCCTTTAATTTCACATTAGTTTCAATCTTTTTAAAAACGTATCGGTGAAAGATCATGGAGATAGCTCCAGCCGATTGCTAGAAGGAACTCGAGCATGTTAATGCATGGCTCAAGAAAAACCTCCGGGTCTGGGATCCTGGCCGAAAAAAAATATCTAGATATAAAAGAGTTCTCGTTGCTTCTATCGACAGACTCTTAGCTGTCGGGCCCAAGAGCCCATTTTTAAAAAAACGTTTTAGTAGTTGTTGTAACGCGTTTATAATTTGTAGCGTATGAAGGCTATCGCACATTTCTCGGCAGTGAATGCACTGCACAAGGGACCTGAACACCTCAAACATGTACCGCTCAGCTTGTGCCGTAGATTAGAAGATTATAGGTATTAGTAGCGAAAATTTAAATAAGTTCTTTTCTGTCTTAGGTTTTTCCCCAAAAAAACAAACTGCAGTGAGTTGAAATAAAATTTCTATGAGATATTGGGGTGTAATATACATAACTTCGAATAGTCCGTCCAGGCCCAATATCAGAAGCTTAATAAGCTTGCAGCGAACACAAAAGTCGGTCCAAAGGAACTTGGGGGTTGCGGATGGTGATCAAGAATTATCTTGGCAGCTTTGTTTCGCAGAATCTAAAGAACTTTTCCCATGATGAGAGTGGAGTTGTTCGCTATCCAGTTTTTGAATAACTTGGGCCTGTAGACAAATATAAAAGCAGAGAACTGTCAAAGCAGAAATGAGAAACTTATCTGACAATTATTTCTGTCATACCCAATATTCCCATAATTCTTTAAATATGAAACTAGTGTCAAATCACATATTAATTAAAATATTTCAGAGCTTAACTGAAAGACGACTTCCGCACACTTATAATATTTGTTTCCTAGAAACGCATCAAAAAGTATTTTATAACATGCAATTACCGGTAAGCCAGTTTTGTGGTTTTTTGGCCTTTACAGAGAAACAAAGGAAGGTCACCATTTAAAAAACGTAAATGAGAATGATTCACTGTTGACAAATTAGGGGAAGAGGGACCAAGATCTAGACCGTATATTTAGTGCGAAATTTGGCGGCGTGTCACAACTTTTTCACTGTTCAGTCTTATAACTTAATAATTTATTTCTAATTCTTCCACAGTAGAAACATGCATCCACCTCTTTTCTGATGGGGACAAGGAGGAATCCGGTTTTGCTAGAGAGATGCCGGGCCACCAATGAAGCCGGTCTCGACCTTCCGTAAACCGAGGAAACACTGATGCTGACGAGAAATTTCCGTTAAAAATACATATAAATTGCTCGCTAAAAATCGTGTTTATGGACTATGAACTAAATTTTTGTTATAAGAACCGCCTTTTTGGGTCCTTCATGAGCAGTTCCTCTTTTAAAACTTTTGTAATCCTTACAAAAACATAATGAACTTTCATTTTTTACATTTTTTTCAGGACACTAAAGAATTCTTTTTCGCCAGAAAGACAATCTGAGCTTCTTCGTCAGTCTTTGTCACGTCATAACAGTGCACTTTACCGCCGCTGGTTAAAACTTTTGCCACCGCTACAAATTTGCTACAATTTTTTTGTGCTCTCCACATTCAGTCTTGCAGTCAGTACAGCACTTGAACAAAATCTGTTTCACATCCTACTTAGACGTTTATAGTGTAAAAGGCTTGAAGCGGACATCAACAAATGCAAACAACGCCCATAAGTATGGTTTATTCGGTGTTAGATATACCATGTAGGATGTGATTCACAGATATGATAACTTTTAAATTCCGCAAATATACAAAACATAATATCTGGTATCATTCAGTGACCTTGATCAAACGCTTAGCCCCAGTGACTAATCTTACTGTGAAACTGTGAAATCTCAGTGGTACTAAAGCGGGAGATCAAAACCGTAGCATTTTTCTACGTCTTAATAAGTATTTGCCAACAAAAAATTGCCTGATAATAGCAGGAGTACCTAACGGATCCGCTTTTCGAATTTCAGGTTAAGAATTTGCTGGCTGGTAACTAAATGATGGATGAGAAACTCTAGCTTGGAATTTTGCCGAAACTCTTTCCTTGCTGTGGTTGACTCTTTGAATACCGATGCTGGCGGCTCCCAAAAAATCCCTTCCCCCGTAATCGTGCTGTTATAGAGAGCTACTATAAGATTTCGCAATGTTCAGGAAGATTGTTTGTTTCCAGTTGTTTTGCCAGCACTGAAAGAACTGAAACTATCTAATTGGTGTCATGACTGTTGCACTCTACTGAAGGAAGAATGAAAAACGTAAAGTGAACTGGTGAAAGAAAAGGCTTCAGTTGATCAGTACAGGGTAAACAGTGACAGCTGAAAAGTGACTAAGAAATACGCAGAAAAATGTTTTTCTGGCCCCATCCCTGATCCCATAAAGTTGTTATCAAGAATGGAAAGGACTATTGAAGCCACTGGCGCGTCATGGCATGGCAGCCGCTTGGCATCAACTCGCTTGAGCACGTGACGGATTGTCAAATGTTTGTTTCAATTCTTCCGGAGTTGCTGTCATGTGCTATAGTACGCTGAAGGAGACTACCAGAAACATTTCAACATTCGTTGTTTGGAACGGAACGCAGAGATGAAAAAGCTGCCTTAACATGGCTCATTATCAAACGTTAGTCAGTTTGCTTGTTGTGGTTATCATGTACCCGCTAATGGATGAATGTAGAACTCCTGCAGACGACCATTCTGAGGGTCGACGCCATTCGTCGTTGCGGGGAATTAATATACCGTGTCTGCGCCCTTGTCTTTGGGATACCCGACATCAGCAGAAGCGAAAGGTATGTATGCAGTAATTATGTAATTTTGAGAGCGAATTTAAGCTGAGCAACATAAGAAAGGCCATTGCTATGCGATACACAGAATTGGTGAAGCAACACCCAAGCATCCGCTTCTGCGGGGATCGACGGACGACATCCTGTTCATATGGGTGAACATTGTTTAGTATTGTCGTGAATATATTAATATGCGAATATCCCCCTTACGCTTATTGACAGTTTTCATTACCTTTTTCATCTCACTTTGCCAATGAAACCACTGCATTGAGCAAACTTGTAGAAGTGTGACGCTGCTATAGCAGCCATTGGTTAATGCGCACATTTGAGAATTGCCACAGAGTTGTCGGGGAGTATTCTGTCACTTCTGTTGTTAGGTACTGCTGATTACTCCATAGTTAACCAATTTCATTTAGAGTGTTTGATAATGTGTGAAAATAAAAGAATTTGCTTTTAATTTCAGTTATTTTATTTCACGAGTTCCATGCCAGATGTGTTTTGTCATCATGGGTCATGTTTTCCGTTAGGGGATTAGATTTTTTCCTTCTAATTTATTCTGTTTACAGTTGATGTCTTTTGATACGCATGTGTTGCCATACATCAAGAGTAGTATTATTTAGAAATTTTGCGGCGCTTTGGTAATGATCGAAAATTCTTTTAAATTTAAGTTTTCTAAGAAATATTTTTATTTTGGTATGTGACCTTTCGTGATTACGTGCTGGTTAAATTGTAGGATGATCGTGCCGTCGCCAGCGTTCAACATGCATTGAAGCCAAGTGGCGAAGACGGATATGAAGCCAGTATTTCAATTAAACACGTGTCGAGATTGTCTTGCTACAAAATTGTGGCGTGGGGTTTTGATTATTGCAGGTCGCCGAGACATAATATTGAAATGTTCACGCGAATATATCAGAAGAATAGGACCCGTGATAGCGAAAATTGCGAAATATTCTGTAAACTTTGAAAAGCAAGAAAAAAAAAAAAAAAAAGAAAATGAAATGGAAAATATATTTACATGATAGTTACATCTAGAATGTGGCAGTGTGCTAAGGCGTTGCTTCAGCTATCCAAATTTTCATTATCAGTGGCAGATCTAGAGGACTATAGGGTAGCGATATTTTGTTTTGTTTAGAAAGCATCCCTTCCCCCCAACCCCTTCCTTTCCCGGAAGTGTCTTAAAATATTGATAAGGTGTTACGAGGCGGTGTGCGTGACGACCCACAAAGGTTCATGGGTAAAACTATTACTGTGCCTCATTTCAATCGTGACACGGTCGAGTTCGCATCTCGTAAGAGAAATAAATCATACCCAGGGATCAAAACACTGCTGCCTTTTCCGAAAAACATTACGGAAGAGAGCGATTTCGAGAATTTTCAAGATCTCATAGTGGCCTTAGACAATTCACAAGGCAATTTCAAGAAGTTTATCGCGATTCGGAGACGAACGTGCGATCTATTCGACTTTGAGCGGCGACTAATTTCTCATAAGATTTTATGTACTGTTTGGTTTATATGCATGTTTTTATCTCATAGTGAAAGAGATCTGTAGTTCATACCTGGATTTGCTTAACTACAAAAAAATTCGTCCATTAGAAGTGTTTATATATTTGATAGACTTTGTTACCGGCAAAGCAGGGGGAGCGCGTGCAAACAGCAAGGTGAGAAATCGTCTCAATTTTATTTTCATCGACAAGTTTATATTATTTTGAAAACAGTGCCCGTTTGAAATCCTTATGGGCAAATAAATCTTCTATCAGGCAAGGGGAAAACAGACCGAAAGAGCCGAACAGCTGCAGCACAATCGGAATTTCACCGAAGCTACAGTCGCAGAAATAAACAGTGAAATAAACCACGATCTTATCTATGCGGTCATTGAAGTGAGCGCAGTATATCGATTTTGTTATAAAGTAAAACCTAACCTCACAGTTTTAAAATCCTGGATTTGGCGTTACTCGCTTCACGTCGGCATCCGCTTCGGCATGTTTTCTCAGCCCGTTTCTCGGGAGTTGTGCCACTTGGCTAAGGCGATGTCTTAATTCCAAGACACTTTCAACGGCTCATAACGGGAAAACTAACAGGGGTAGACCCGGGTAGACCCCGAAATTTGCAAAGAAGAAAGGTTGAAGTAACAAGATGGCCAAAATAATTCGATAAAACCGCTAACAGTAACCAGCAATAAATCCAAGAAGAACGGCAAAAACAACACTCAAATCATCATGGCGGCCTGCACATGACCGAGTAATTCAAACTTGTCACAAACGCTCAAGAAAGCCAAATATTTAAAAGTAACGCAACTGCTATCAAGATAAAGTGTTCCAACAACTTTCCACGGAGGTATAGTGTCGAAATTACCAACACAAGCTTGGAATAAAGCAAAAATTTCACCACATATACCTCTGAAAACGGCTCTTTCCGAGAGCGAAAATCACTCTACAAATGACGCATTCTGATTGGTCGAATCTCGTGACGCACACCGCCTGAGGTGTTACTGAAGGAAGCTGAAGCTCATTAGCTCATTAGTATGGAGAAAAGGTTGAGACCTCAGACTGCCCTGCCAGTTCAGAGCGGCAAATTGGGCGCCGGAAATCTAGTTTAGTCCTTTCCGCGCGCTTTCCCGTCATCAAACGACGTCCGTGTTCTGTTGCTAAATCAGCCTAGTGAGTGGGCTCCTCCGCTTCTGGCTCCATCGATTAGCATATGTCGTAATGGTGGACGGCCACGTTTTCCAGCCGCCCAACCATCGAGGCTAAAATTGCTGATTATGGCTGAAAATCTTTTAAAGCAGGAGCGTGCTCCTTTAAATGCAAAATTGGAAGAACTAGTATTTTGAAGGATTAGGAAGTGAATTGTACCCGAGGATTGTAACAGAAGGCGTGCGATCTGTAACTTGGAAATCTTCTCTAGTCTTTAGAGAGTTTCAGAGCGGAGTGCAGAGTGAACACGGCTAATATCATTTTTCTAAATTAAAATAATAGGAAAGTGAAAATAATAATAGTGATAAAAAATAGCCTGCGTGCAGACGTCTCCTATTTCCTTTTTGTTGCATGCGGAAAAGAGACTAATCTGCGTTTTTATTCCGGGTTTTTATGGGTGCTTTATGAGTGTTTCACAGCGTTTGTTGAACGCTCCGAACACGCTACCAAGGTTTATGTGTGAAAAGAATGGATTATGTATAGTTGAGGTTTAAACAATCTTGTTATTTTATTGTCTGATCAGATGAAGAGTGCCTTTGTTTTCTAAACAGACAAATTCCTTTTATGAATGTATCAAGCAATGTGAGGAAAGCAAGGCTCCTAGAGGTACGGAAGACCTTTTTTTCTATAATCAGTTTATCATTTTTCCTCATAAATGCTGATAGCTAAGACCTTTTATAACATAATGATCCTTTAACAGCTGAAATTAGGTTGCATCATTGAGCACAGAACTGGGAGTTCCCTCGGCCTTCGATTGAACTGAAAAGCCAAACATTTTTTAAACTTTAATTGTGGATTGTAACGAGGGTCTAAAACAACCTCTCTCCAGGGGTGTACTGTGGAGATGTACCCGGTTAGTACAGGAAATTGACGATCTTATAACCCTATATGTAAACGTATACTAAAAGCCCAATTGTCTAATTTATTTCTTATTCATTGTAGTTTCGCTTGAAGGAGAAAACCCGCGTGTGTCAGTGAGATTAAGAAGAAAACGTCGTGCAGAAGCCGGGACCGTACAAAGTAAGTAAAGCCGGAAACGTTTTGGACTGCAAAACAGTCCGGTTTTTTTGCGTATTCAAGTACACGCGAGCAGTCAAACAAGCGTGTGAGGCTTGCGCGCTTCGTCAGTGTATGTCGACTATAACATACATTTCAGAGATGAAGGGCACGGAACATGATTCCAAATTCTACAATTTAATAAGAAATGTATTATTCTTACTTCTACCTTTAGTGTCATTTTCTACGTGATGCACATATGTACGTCTTTTTCAAAATAGCAGCTTCAGCATTACCTTGATGCTTGTCCAGATCATGAGCCAGGATATGTCCTAGGGCTAGTCTCCTTGGGTTGCCACCAGGCTTCCCAGGAGCGTTGCGTGACGACACTAAAATCGGCTGCGTAGGAGACTAGGCTTAGGTAGACTTGCACAGTTTATATTTTTGGAACCAGTGTTAAACTCTAGATTTCGCTACTATCGTTACCTCAAGGGCCAGTGATAAGTCTATACATCATAATTGTTGGCAAGTAAAATTACTCAAGGCTGGTAAATTGTTAATGTACAGCATGAGCGTGAAAGTATACTGTTTTTAGCCATATAGATGTAGATTAGGGCCTGGAAGGGTATTCTCCGGATCCGGCCGGTACTTGACCAAAATACAGTGCGGGGTTCGGGAAAACGCAAAATTTGTTGACGTGATACGGAACTTAACCCTTAATGGGAGAGCAGGATTCGCTTAAGGTGGCTGAAAACAGTTTTGCGGGCGGCCAGCGGTAACTCTCGTTGACGGCGCGTGTTTCAAATTAGGCAAACAAACATGGCGGAGTACAAAGCAATGTACACAGAAGACGATTTCTCAAAATCTACTCATTAAAATTTTGTAATATTTGGCAGCATTTTTACTTTTATCGTATTTTAAATAATGAGAACTTTAAAATGGAAGTTGAACAGTCGAATTTTGTGGCGCATTTATTAATTACAGTACAATTATATCACTGATTATCTAAAAATCCGTCATTTAAAATTTCGTCAAACAAGTTTCAAATAGTTATGATTAACCATTACAGTAGGCTGTGTGCAAGTTTATAGGAAAATCTAATGGGAGAATTTTATGTAGACTGAGCGAAACTGAAATTTTAAGGCTGTTTTCAATCGTTCATGTTGCCATGGAAACTAAGAAACCGTCACATTTTACCTGTCAATCAAAATCTTTCATCAGTATATTTTTCACTTGCCAAGTTTCATTTTGTGAGCTGCAACCTTTCTATAGTCATGATTTGGCAAATAACGCACTCACAAACTGCCAAAACGGTGTTCAGCCACCTTAAATCTTGGCACGTGAAAGAAGAGGGTATTCAGGGTAGAGATGACAGAAGTTCGGGATGCGGAATTGTCGTGCAAAAGGAGCCGTACTGCGGGATCAGGGTCCCTTATCCCGGCAGACCCTGATAGATTAGTAAGGAGACTTAGTAAGGATACCATCATATGCACACAAGGCGAATACGTAGAACATAGCAGTCTGATTAACTCAGTAAATCAATGCATCCCGACGAAGTAATATGTTCGGAGTGTTATCTTCTCCTTTATTTTTCATAGGTTTTTTTATTATCCTGCGTGTTGGTGGTAAGGTTTAGTCGGAATTTATCGTCATCACGGGGGCGGGTGCGAGGGGGAAGAGACGAGGTCTGGGACGGAGAAACCATGTTTTCACAACTTGCAAAGCAGCTGTCACTCTGCGTGGTGGTCAGCGGATAATTGCAGTATTTTTCCCACAGTAAAATATTCAGGCTAATATTTTTATATAGAAGCGAGAAACCAACCGGCAGAGGAAATGATAAAAAAAATATCATGCATCTCTGTTTTTCTTGCATATCGTATTTGTCTCTTGGTACTAAAATTACAGGGGAAACTAAAACGCAACCGTGTTAAATCTTAACCAACAAATACGCGCTCGATCGATTTATAGATCTTTATAGGTTACATCGTTTTTGCCGGGCGACGACATCAGAAGATAAAAGAAGTTATGATGCTGATAAAAATTACTGGAGAGAGAGTCAAATTTTTCGGAAGTAAGTATATTCAAGAGAGCCTTATAAATATGAGCTCACAGCCGTACATATCATAAATACCTGAACAAACATAACTCTTCACAACGTTTCACTTCGTTTATTACGATTAGTCAACTCCTTGAATTCAACGTTAAAATTCAATGCGATCGTTATAAACAAATCACAACTACTACTGAAAGCTCTGTTCCTTGAAGAGACCTTAACTTTCCTATAAGGTTTGCAGCAAAACGCTGCTCGATAGCTCAACTCTTCGGCTGTTCTTATCAGGTATACGCAGCTATATGTTGCAAATCAGATTCCAAACTCTGCAGCGGGAAATTGTTTAACAGAAAAAGAAAACCACACACTAAGTCTGAAAAGCGACATAAAATCAAAAAATTTGCGAATTACCAGAATATAATAGTGAGAAACAGTCCGGCCTTGGCCCTTTATGTTTTTGTTCCTTCTCAAAACCGTTGATCGATGATTTTTGACGTAATGCGCATGATCAGTACACAAGTCCGCTGGCAAGATCCTTGCTGACTGCTTTGCAAGTTGTGAGAACATCGTTTGGATTTCATTTAAGAGAATGTGTGGGAAGTAGCTCCCCCTCCCCTGATGGTCATTCATTGATATAAACGGATAAAGCAAGGGTATCAAAAGAAAAACAACGACGAAAAATGCAGTTAAAGATTTCATTTTATTTTGGATTCCAGCATGCCACGGTGTTTCTACTTACACTAAAAATGTTGGTTGGCCTGTTCCTACTAAAATTCTGCATGTTGACTTCCAAGCCAATTATCATTACAATGTATCGTGGAAGCCCTTCGATGAGAATACCATTAAAGGTAATGAACTGCGCATATATACTTAGTAATGGCCATTGATACTTGGGTGTAACTGGTGACAACCAGATGTAATCTAACCCCAGTTAGTAACTTAACCAGGGCTCTGTTGTTCGATCAGCCGATTAGCGCCAACCTGGGGTTAAATTTGATCCCGGTTTCTCTTTCTTTTGTTCGAAAGCATTTTTCCCTTAATTTTCTCTGTTCTTTTTAGATACTCCTCTCACCAAATTGTAGACAAAGAGAACTAAATTAAACTGAATTCAAATTTCAACCTTGGGTTAACTTAACCCAGCTTTGGACAACCCGGCCCAGAAGTTAAGTTCCGTCTGTAGTGCAGGTTACCAAGAATTATGTCCTTTACTATCGTCGTAAGTTTCAGATTTTCAATCTGGCTTTGCGCCAGTTCTTAGGCAAAAATAAGATTGAAGCCAGCAGAGGCGGACGGAGGTGTGGGGAACACATATGCAGTAACCGTGAGTGAGAAAGGCTAGCTACCAGCTAGCTAGGGAGGCTCTTTTTATTAGTAAGGGAAAACAATGGCTCCTCTAGGAACAAATAGACGTGACGAAGTTCCTTTGATATACTATACAGCTTAGTCACCCACACTAATCACAATCTACTTTAATTTTATGTATTTTTCAAACCCTATTTGTAACGAACTTTCAGTTACGAACTTTCAGTTTTATCTTCATTTTTCTTTTACGCCTTGAAGAAGGTCTGTGTTTCAAACCGAAATATTGGGCAAAGTTGTTTAATTATATTTTTTTGTTTTTTTCTTTTGTTCACTTATTCATCGCCTCGCTGTGATGACCAGTTTGCCGTTTTATATTTTATAAAGGCAATCGGCTTGCAAGGAACTGTGGTAAAAATACGGTGCGAAAATTCAGAAGCATCGTGGGTAGAAACCAAAAATTTTTGTCCTTGTACGGATTAGGTCTGCTGCCTTGCTCGCTCGCTTCAGGCTCGCTTGCGCGGCAGCAATAATATCATTTACAAATATTTAACTGATGGAAATCTTAATTCTTTAGAACACAATTGGACACATTATTCACTATTTTACACATTCCTGAGAGACGATGTTGATCCGGGCCCCGGGTTGGAGTGTGTACTCATACCAAAGGTTAGTAAGCAAAGGTTTTTCCCTGATTCGAAACGTGCATTCAGATTACTAATTATTATTGCACCTCTCCGTTGTTGTGAACCCGTTATGATTGTCAATAAAAGAAAAAGTAGTGCGCTGAGGTGGAACAGGAGGTCATTTTTACGAGAAAATAACCTACTGTTCTATGATGTAAACTGAGATATTACTTTTCAAGCAAATTAAAGCAAATAAACCGTCTACGTGGAGGAGTCGTGTGGAGGAGTCATGTGGGGCATTTACTAATCTTTGGGCATCTTGTCGCTATTTAGGCGTTGAAATCTGGATTTAAGTTTGTCAGGATGATTTTTAGCAAGAATGTCCAGGGTGTCATTATTACTTAGTTTCAAGTCGTTAAACTCTTATTGCATCATTCTAATGTGTTAAGAATCGTACATTGTGGCGCGCTCAAATAGGTTCAATTTGTTTTCGTACGACTGTAAACTGTTTGTAACCAATTTTACAGTTCTAGATGGAAACGATGTTACAACCCTTTCTACTTTCTTAGGTCAATGATGTTTTTCTTATTTCCATAAGAAAACTGACAAAGGAAGTTTTGTATCAAAACAAGGTAAACGTCAGCCTCACATTCACTCGAAGGCTAGGGTACTAAGGCCACAACTGTGAAATAGGCTAACCACTAGTTATAGAAATTAATATGTTTGTTTGCTTTATCGTTTTCAGAACAGAACGCACTGGTTGTTAGAATATAAGCCGCCACGGTATTCATCCACACAACCGACGAATCTCCTCTCTACAGTATGTTTGAATTTTTTCGAAGCTTAGGTTGCTTGCTTATGTCTATGGTATTTTTGTAGATCGGCTACAGTATACCCTTTATGTCAGATTCCGAGGGAAACAGTTTTGTTTTCTCGAGAGTCCTGATGTTTTCCTCGACTTCGTCTTGGGAAACAACAGGACTCGAGGGAAAACAAAACTAACTGGTTTCCCGAGGGACCTGACATTAAGTGTTTTGTTATATTTCTAGACTTTCACTTCAAGAATACGCTTAAGGTGAGCGAATCAAAACAGTCGACTCGGTACTTATAAGAACACAAATTTAATTCTCAAAACCACTAAATAAATGATTTACCAAGTACCTTTCCTTATATTATCTGCGTCTTTTTCCTTCCGACTAACTGCTGTTTCTCTTCTGGGATAACTTTGAAAATCGTTGCTTTTAGCTTGAGGCTTCATGTTTGTGTTGTTGTGTTCATTCACGAAAAAGAAAACTGACAGTGTTTTTCCCGCCTTCTGTCACGCCACTTTCCACCTCGTGTTGTAATATATCCCGAACAGGGTACATTGCTTGATGTATCACGATCGGGATACATTTGATTTTAGTCAAGGCCATGTGACCAAGAATCAGCCAATGGCTGTCCCTGTTTAGTTGAGTGAAAGTCTAGGAATATAACAAATATTAATATAGCACGTCTAGTAATAATATTACGGTGTTTTCTGTAATGGCCGACAGCACAACCCACAGATGACGTCAGAGTTACTAATTTGCAATTTTTGTCTTACTATTGTCATTTTTATCATTTTGATGACAGAAATATGAGAAACATGACATTTTAATGGCAAAAAACAAAGAGAAGTGTGAAATTCGTACCGTTTCAGTACTCTCACGACTGGGCTATCAAGCCAAACGCAATCCGTTAATTTGCGAGTTCCTTATATATAACATACAGCAAACACGTGCTATTCAGGGAGGCATGTGCATGTGACATCCCCCGTTCCTTTTTTTTGGAAACAAGGAAAATAAAACCTAAATGCAGGGAACTGAGCTTGCGTGTGGCACTGGTAACAATAACAGATAACATTTCTAATGCACAAAATACTTGAGTTCCATAGCATTGTTCTAGAAAGTCAGTGTTCATAATGGTTCATTTCTCTGTCTTTCCGAAACTCTCCTTTTGGGTGCCTGAGGAGTTGCCACTGAAAGTCCCACAGTTGATGTTGTCTCAGCGGGAATTTCTCTGGGGAAGTACTTTGAGAGGCATGGGTCACTGGGTGGGCCACCTGATCCTCTGTTAGTGTTGCTGGCGATGTGACTTGATCTGGTTGGGTAGGCTCAGCCTCCATAGACTGGCGGAGAAAATTGCGATTTCGTCGGAGGATTTGGCCATCTTCAGTCTTGACTTTGAAAGAGCGTGGTGCTTCATGCTTCTCTACAACAATGGCGGGGTGCCATGTACGCCCTTGCTGAACGGTCACAGGGACACCAGTTTGGAGCGCGGGTAGGGCCTTGGTGCCCCGATCATGGTATCTCTTTTGTCTTTGTTGTCTGGCTAGCAAAGACCTGTGTAAATCCTCTGCAACTTTTGGAGATAGGAGAATTGTCGCAGTTGACAGCCTGTCTTTTAACACTCGGCACACTGTGCTGGGGAGTACTCAAGGCCTGATATTGGTGTATTTCTGTATGCTAAGAGGGCCAATTGCATATCTCGTCCTTCTTCTGATGCTTTCTCGTTAGTTGCCTTATTGTTCCAGCTGATCTCTCACCTTTCCCATTGGATGGGGCCTGGGGCCCGTTTCTCTAAAGTCCCGATAACTAACGGGCCCGGTAAGCTGTCCCCGTTTACATTAAAGATCGAGGTTTCAATAGTTTTGCATCTAACATGATAAAACTGTCAGTTAATGAAACTAAATGGAGTAGTTTGCTAGCCAGGACCCGCGCTCTCATTCTTTATATCTCGATTTGAATTTTTGATTTCGGGCCCGTAAAGTTAACGGGACTTTCGAGAAACGGGCCCCTGGTGAGGACTTAATGTCTCAACTTCGAAGCCCCACTCTTCGGCAAACTGAGCAAACTTATTGCTCCCAAATGGCATGTTGTCTGCAATGGCTGTGTCTGGTTTGCCATGTGTTTCAAAGCAGGTTTTCAGGTGTGAGATCACGTAGCTTGCAGTCTTTGTGGATAACTGGTAGACGTCTGGATATCTGAAAAAGAAATCCACAACTAGAAGATAATCTCTTTAAAACTTTAATAAATACTCCCAAAAAAAGGTTATTCAGTACCTATTTACAAATATAAATGCAAGCTATACCTAACAAGCTAATAATAGTTAAATGCTAACTGTCATTCGATCATTCATTCATTACAAGTTTCAGGGCTTTCTTAAAGGCCTTTACAGTTGTAGCGTTTCTAAGGTCTTCGTCTAACGCGTTCCACAGGGATACTGCTCTATAGGCGAAGGTACGTTGGCCAGTGGCTGACCTGAATAATGGGATTTCGAACTTCACATTATTACGGGTTGTGCGATTATGTACAGAAGATCGTTTTTTAAACTTAGCACATAGGTATTCAGGAGCTAAATTGCTGGCGCACTTATAAGTCATAACAGCGTCTCTGAATTTGAGCATCTTGCCAACTGGAAGCCAGTTGAGTTCGTCAAGTAATGGCGTCACGTAGTCATATTTCCGAGCGCCGCAGATAATTTTGCAGGCGAAATTCTGAATAAGTTGCAGCTTTTGGATGTTCTTAGATGAGGTATTAGACCACACGGTCGAACAGTAGAGCATTTTGCTAAAGACAAGAGATGTAATAATTAAAACCAAAGTCTTTCTATCAAAACAATATTTCACGCGGTTGATCTGAACCAGTTTAGTCAAGCAAGAAGAGACTAAGTGGGAGATATGAGTGTCATAGGTCAGGTGTAAATCTATGTATATAATCTATCTACTCCTAATCTATGTATACTCTCTTCCCCTGAATGTGAAAATGTCAATCCCTAGTTTTGACCATGGACGCTCTAGGATGACATGCGAGACAAGTGGCTCGCAGGGATTGGCAGGCTTGTATTTGGCACATATGGAGCCCCTTGATTTTGTTTCCTCGATGTCTCGCCCCATTCTAGGCCAGTACATGATGAAGCGCTCTCTTGCTTTACATTTCTCTATGTCCAAGTGGTTCTCATCTAGATTAGTCAACATTTCATGGCGCACGCTCGGCGGTATGACTAGGGATTCATCTCTAAATACCAGACCTTCTATAATGTGGAGCTCGTCACATAGTGGCCAGTACTGTCGTGTACAGGTGGAGGTGTCTCCCTTGTATGCTGGCCACCCTTAATGATGAGGGTTTTCACCATCTGTAGGGCATCATCTGCAGCTGTTGCTTGTTTCAGAAAGTTCATTTTGTCATTGGAAATTAATTGGAAGGGAGGAAACCAGACTGTGTATTCTCAGCTCCATTTCCTCAATGTGGTTGTCTTCAGCTGGAGGTGAGGATGGCCGGTGTGCCCGGGATAGCATGTCAGCGATCCACACCTTGGTGCCTAGGGCATAGTGCAGGTTGAGTTTGTACCTCAGCAACCGAAGAAACGAGCTGAATTCCTGGGGAAGCATTCTGGAGTGGGCTGCGGATTATGGTTTCCAGTGGCTTAAGATTATTTTCTTCTTAAACTTCTCTTCCGTAGATGTAATGGTGAAAATGTTCAGCAGCAAATGTGACTGCTGGTAACACCTTTTCAATTTGGAACCAACGCTGTTCAGTTTGAGTTAATGCTCGTGAGGCATAGACCACTGGGCCACTGTCCTGGAGGAGGCAGGCACCTAGCCCAGTGGATGAGGCATCAGCTTGTATGGTCACCTTTTTGGTGGGGTCATAGAAACGTAGGACTGGCTCGCTAATGAGAATTTCTTTGATCTTATTAAGGGCCTGTTCATGTTCTGGTAACCGCTGGAAATCCACACCTCTCTTAACTGGTTGCCTGATAGGAAACATGGTTTTGGAAATGTCAGGGATGAAATCCTTAAAGGAGGCCACCGTGCCATCAGTCTGCGAACGTCTTCTTTACTTGCTGGTTGTGGTAGCTCCACCTTTTCTTTGAAGAAAACATGAACTGTCTTTGGTGGAGATGTTTTCAGCTTACAGGCAATCAACAAAAAATTCATCCTCATTACTGCTTTGATCAATCATTTCATTTTCATTGCAATATACCGTTCTGCTTTGGCTACTGAAGTGGTTTGGACCTCCACATTTTAAACAGGACTTTCCCCAAGCTGGGCACTCATTTCTCGCATGCGTGGTACCGCATCTCCTGCAACTTTGTCCTCTACTGCCGTTTCGTGCTCCTCGACCCAGAGAGCGAGATTGCTTGCCACCTGTTGAAGCTCGGTTTGTGTTTAGGCGATTCGTGTTGAGCGCGTCTACTTGTTGCTCTTCCATCCTCGCAGCGCCTTTCATACGTCCTTCTGTAGGTCTAGCTTCGGTTCGCGTAGCAGCCACTCTTTTAGCGCGGGATTTTCAGTGGAGAATACTATTTTGTCTCCGATCATGTTATCTGGTTCAGCAAATTCGCAAGGCAGAGAAAGTGTTCGTAGCTGAGTTAGAAATTCGTCAAATGTTTGGCCCGAGGTCTTCAAGTAGTCCCAGAACTGATACCTGGATAATACAATTCGTTTATGGCCCGCTAACTCGGCCTCAAACGTAATCTTCACGTGGTCGTATTTTTCATTGTCTTCACCTTCTTGCTATTCAAAGTGGCTGTATCGCTCCAAGCTAAGGCGTCGGGTCCAACTGCCGACAACAACATGGCGATCTTAGTCGCATCGGGTTTCTTGGTCATCTCCTTCGCGGCGACATACAATTCAAATCGCTGAATCCACCTTCTCCAGTTTTCAAGGGTTCCCTTGAAGCCGCAGGTATTTGGGAAGCTTGAAATCGTGCTCCATTTTGTTTTGTGAATCCTACTATTCGACACCATGTAACACACAGCAAACACGTGCTATTCAGGGAGCCATGTTTTATTCACCAGAGTCTTACCAAGGCAGGCCTGGTTACATATGTGACATATATCTTTAGAAGGTAAAGATATAAAGAGTGAATATATGAAATATAGAAAATTTTCGCTCACGTGGGCAACAGCTATGCAAATTTCTTACAACAAAAGAAAGATTTTGCATTTAAGAAAAAGGTTTAACTCCCACAGGATTAGTTTGGGACACCAACGTAGCCGCCGTTTTATTATTTTGGGATATGCCGGACGTGACGTAACAAACCCTCTATATTTGAACTGCGGGAGAAAGATTTTTGTGACACGTGAAAGAAGTAGTAAGAGGAACAGGTGAGAGCACTGTAACGGTATCGCAGCAGAGGTCATGGAATCTAATCTCGCTCAAGCCTGAATTATTGTTCAAGTTTCCTTTCATAAATAAGTAAGAGGATCTTTAACGTGTTGAGGAATTGTAAATACCTTGTTTTTTCTAAATTGCAGCCCACAAAGTATATGTATAACCCAATTAATTTTATACTTGTCAGGAGACATCACTGTTTACAAACATTGTTTTTGTTATTAAAATTAATAACAAGTGTAACAAAAGAATCTCTTGTTACAAGAACCAATAGATGAAAAGAAAAGATGACGTCAGCGTGAGTATCGCTATAGCACAAGTTGGTGAACAATACGATTTTTACATCTTTGATTCGCAGGTTGTCACTTATCCATTCAGTAGAGACTTGGCGGTAGGAATAGAGTTACAATCATTTTCCGCAATAGATCCCGCAAGTATGACATTTTTGCTTAATTGAGTTAGTTTAAGTAGTAAGGGTATGTCTACACGCTACCGAATAGCTCTTGCACAGGCGCGAAAACCATATCCAGTAGGGCTTCTGTTCACATATGAGAACGGTGAGTTTGGCGCGATTTCTGTAACGGAGCGAAGCTGCCCCTCGCCGATCTCTAAAGTAGATCGTCCGTGCCACACTTCGTGGCATTGTGAACAGGTGCCCATACCATGGCCAAGCCGAAGTATTTTTCATGTCCAAATATGCGGTTTAGTGTGGATGACCCTAAAACAAGCTCCGGAAACACCTTATAACACCTAATAACAGCTGCTAACTGTATTTATTTCATGATTCACACCTTTTCTTTTGTTCTTCAACAACCTTTATTTAACGTACAACCCTCTTGAATAGTCAACAAACTGAAAGTTCGGGGAGGGCTTGATAACGTAGGAGGGAAGAGCGGCGCTGATGAATTGAATTAAAAACTATTATTTAGGAATTTATCTGAATAAATCTCCCGTTTGAGGGATTTATACAGATAAATCCCTCGGCTGAGGGATTTTATACAAATAAACCCCCAAACGAAAAAAATAATGGAAATCAATTCCTATAAACGTTCTTGTACTGCAATTAATTGCAATTCAACTTTTCTGTTTCTGACGACATAAAATTGCTCCAGACCTCTAGTCCAATTTAAACTTCGAATTTGCTCAGCCAATAATTAAGTTCGTCCTTGTCAGTGATATTCAAAATTTCAGGATTGACTTGGGGAATGGTCTTACTGTCTCCAATGATTTGGATCAGATCGTTGCGTTTCCCCTCCCATTCAGACCAGGCACGGACTGCCCACGATGTGTTTATTCGTGTATTTGCGGTATTCGAGATGTCTTCCTCTTTTCAAGTTCTTCATTGTCAACGCTAGCAATTATTCTACGGTCTCCTTAAGTTTTCTGTGGATCTGTCTGTCCTTCCCATGCTAAAATTAGGTATTATACTTCTTGCGAAAAACAATTTTGTGCCAGAAAAAGCTCCTCGTCGCAGTCCATGAACTCCATGATAACATGAAAGCATGGACCGACCTACTGAATAATCGAACACGCCCATAAAATGGTCAAAACAACTGAACAAAGAAACCGAAAAATACAAACTCCCTTGAGGACGCCAGAAAAATGTTTCTCAAAACCTTGTCAAAATCTCACAATTTTGTAACTTTCATTGTTTTTTTTTTAATTCGATGAAGGTGTGAGCGTGTATGTGGCTAGTGTTTTGTTCTCTTGAACAAATGGTCTTAATTATTGAATCATGGTAAAATAGGGACCGAAAATTCGGTTCTATTTTTATAATATTAAGACAGACACATGTGTTTTCCATTTTTCAAAGATCTGTCAGGAATAATATCATGAAATAAGTTTGATAAATACCTCGAGCGTCGGTCCATATACAATCCGTTCTCGGTATTTATCTCTTAGGGCCTGTTTACATGGAGGTGGGGGACCTCAGGTAGGTGAGGTAACCTGCTTATGTGGGGTAAAAAAATAACCCTCCTTTATATGCAATCTTACAACCCCACCATCCCGGGGTGCACTTTCTCAAGATTATTGAATGGTCGCTAAGCACGTAAACAAGAAAAATGCTGGCAAACCACGTGTTTTGGCGATTAATGCACTTCTACACTCCCTTGTTGCTCTTGCCGCAACCTTCAGTACAATGGCTTTCTATTGTTAACTTTAATAATGATGCAAAGCCACCGCCAAAGTGAAATTTGCGCGAATTTGATGTATCACGAATCCGACCCCGGCCAGGCGGGTTACCCCACCTTGAAACGTTTACATGGCAAAATTTGACCCCGGCGGAGAGGGTAACCCTGTCTGGTAGATCGGGCTACCCGCCTTGGCGGGTCACCCCATGTATCATGTAAACGTGATCAAATTAAAATGAGAGATTATATGGACAGGCGGGTTACCCCACCTAAGCGAGTTACCTCACCAATCTGGGGTCCCTCACCTCCATGTAAACAGGCCCTTACTTAACAATTTTCTGTGCAGAGGGTTTCTGCATTAGCGGGTGCTGACTATACTAACAACATGCGGTCCCGACGGTACCTGCGTTGACTGTATTAACAGCTTGCTGTCTCGTGAGTTTCCCGGGTAATAAAGGCTATTGAACTAACCAAAGCACCAAATAATAGGTTAAACTCTAACCTCTAATCAATCCTAATCTAGATCGTTGTAAGTTTTCGTCAGTACCGTATAACAAGAGATTCATGCGTATAATTAAGACGCTCGATTGCAAATTTAACATTGCCTTCTTTTTCTACAGGTTTACCAACTTTCTCTCCCTACTTTTCCATAACTAAAGGTAAGGCATTTTATATTTATTAATGATATGTCCCGAAATACTTTAAGGGGCTGTTTACATGACACCGGGGCGACTTTCGCCCCGGAGCGATTTCACTCCGGTTCCCTCTCATGGCTCTATATTTGTTTATATGATACCACCACAAAATGTCATGTCGGTGCGAGTCACCCCGGCGTGCTTTCACCCCGGTTCTTGTACCGGGGCGAAACGACCACCCGTTTCGGTATGAAATCGGTCTGCCGGTAGACTGGAACGGGTAGCGCATGCGTAATGTTTGCTATTTTGAATCACACGTGTATTTTATCATCATGAAGTGTACCTTCAAATGACGAGGTATGAAATGACCCAGTCATCATGCAAACGCAATAAGAAATCAAAAAGTCATCCTGGAATGAGACTCGCACCGGTGCGAGTTTTCTCATGTAAACACCCCCTTAAATCATCGTCACCGTCGTCGCCGTAGTTGTCGTCGTTATGACTTTGAGTTGAGATTTACAAGAGGGACAGCAATACGAACGTCAAAAAAGCGATAGGTTTTATTAAGCATGTCAACTGAAATGTTTTTGCTTGTGGGTCTCATCGTCTGGCTCAATATTTTTTGCTTTTACTGCACGTCTACAGGGTGAAATTTCCCGTTGCAGTGTTTTATGGAAGATTTAAACACAAGCGGTCTAATTCTTTGTTTTCCTTTTCTGAAATTGTATAATGAAGTGAAGTGGAGACTTAATTTAAAGAGGGTAATACCTGACAGTTATAATTGGATCTGATAAACTTGTGGCTCTCTTTTAGCTTAAAATCGATAAAATAGTAAAATAATTTTACAATTGTGTAATCCAGAAAATATCCACCCCCCCTACCCCCGCCACGAGGGCACTTTTGCTTTAGACCCCCCACCCGCCTGGAATTTCTATTCCAGGGGGTGCTTGTCATATTCCTCCCACACCCCCTGGAATATCCGTAATTTTTCAATTTGGTTGGGTACCCTCTGGAAAGAATATTTCTGTCAAAAATGCTGTTGCACTTTATTTTTATGTGTAAGATACTTTTTTTTCTAGGATAAAATGAGAAAAAATATTTTATTCCTGTTAATACAGTGTCTAGTATTCTTAAGGACTTTCTTAGGTAATAATTAACCATCGCGGCGATACCTTACACTACTGAAAACACGAATAATGCCATCTGCAAAAGAACCTAAACACCACGTAAGCTTTCATTACTTCCTTTCAGTTAGAACATGTCACAAGAAGGCTTCGAACATGACCTAATTTCGGTGAACCAAGTGTATAATAAAACAACAACTTGATAACCGGAGTTTTATTCATGAGCCGATGACAATTGTATTAAAAAAACTATCGTGTAAGCCGTGAAAAAAAGCATTCAGCCGATCGTAATGAAAGTCGATCAATGCAAACATAAATACTTGTTTTAGAACACTGGTTAAGAGTAAAATAACTGAAAGATGAAAACAAGACATGTTTCGATCGTTCAACGATCATCTTCAGTTGTGAATTCGTTTGCAAGTTCGGTTGAATTAATACAAGCAATGATGTATAAGTTAAAACGTGATACAATTTAAAATTTCGAAAAATTAACGTACAATTTTAAGATGCGCGACACACGGAATAACACTTGCGCGAGCACTACACTTAATACAACCGAGAAAATTGTAAAAATTGAAATAATTACAATGGTTATGATGATGATGATGATGATGATGATGATGATGATAATAATAATAGTAATTGTTGTTGTATAAAAATATATATAAAAAATCCTAAAATAAGTCTCACACAGTTAGTTAGTCGATCTAATTCCCATACTGTTACCAAGTGATTAAGTATTATTGAATGAGCTCGAGGCTGAGTGTGATGTGAAGAAAAAAACACACGATAATACTCGACTGCGCGTTTTTTGAACGGCTTCAAAATCTCTGATATAGATCAACTCATTCTTGCACGAATAATTAAATCTGGGGTTATCTTGGTCTAAAACATTGGACGTAAAACTTAGCTGTGTCTTTATGAGATATAAAGACACTCATAAAGGTTTTTTTTCTCTATGAATTGTTAACGAGTTTTTGAACAGGTGGATAACAGCTACCGTGATCAGCATAATCTTCACATTATACGAAAGCCGACTTCAATAATTGTTTTATTGTTCATTCAAAATATTTTAAGTTTATTTCCTTAGACTTTCTTCAAAACATTAGCCTATTTTTCGGCACGGTGTCAGGATATAAATAGATGTTTTCGTCTTGCATTTACTGCTCAAAAAGTAGATAACATCCATCGAGCAATATATGTTTTACGTATTCTTGTATTTCTTCCGTTCAGTTTTAGTGTGAAACTCAGCTACTTTGTCTTTGGATAGCCGTGAATACCATTGTTGTTAGTTCACTATTTCGGAGCCAGCCTCGTTTCCAAGCAAAATAATGTACCATCGATCAACCTCGTTTTCAAGCAAATGTACCATCGAATTGATGGTATATTGCTTGCATCTTTCAAATATGGTAAGCGCCAGTTGGTCATGAGGAATTAGCCGGGGGACTTAATTCAATCAGAAACGGCGAAATGTTTTAAGTGAGGGGTTATTTAACTCTTGTCGGATTATTTTCTGTTATTTACAGCTCCAAAATTTGATTTGGCGATTCCTATTGCTAGTGGATCATCAGCACTACTCGTTATTCTGTTGATTGCAATTTATGTTTGGCGAAGAAGAGTAAGTCGTCCTCATGAAGGTAATTATAAACAACGTTTGTTGACACTCTGCAGGTAACTGGTCACTCGAGGGAACTGTTTACCGGTTCAGAGCATCCTCCTCATAGACTAGTAACTAAGCGTTTCTTTTCCTTCCATCTAAAACAACAAATTAGTATAGGTAATAGCATGATTTGTAGTGATATTTGGCATAAATACCACGAGTGATATTTCAGAATTATTATTATTGAAATTTGAGACAATTTTGAAACGTCACGAGTGGTATTTATACCAAATATCACGTACAAATCATGCTTGTCTATTATTTGTTTATACTACTACCCGCAAAATGTTTGTAATTTTCACATGTAGGTATTTCAAACTAAGCTGAAATACCACTGACTGCTCTAAGCCAATCAAATTGCAGAAATTTCTCATGTAGTAGTATAAGATCCTGAATAGCATCGGCAGGTACTTTCGTGCCGTGTAGATACAGCAACGACTGAGTACAATGTATCTCCGGTACGAAATAGGCCACTTCAATAAAAAAAAGCCATTCTAGTCTTATGGGCTTCTTATTTGAGCTAGACTGGCTTGCTTTGCCAAGGTAACTCAGTTTATCTTGGCTTTGCATGATGAAACCCAGTCGGGGGCTGTCGTGTTTACAGGGAGTCTGCAAATAGTCAATGAGCAGTGTGTTACCCGCTTTCCTGTTGCTTTTTTAGTTCGCCGGACTGGTCCGGCGAGCGTTAGTACAGGGCAAATCTGCATCTTGCTTAGCCGTGATACTGGCACCAGAGTACTAGGATCTTAGTTAACCTGGTTTGCTCGGCTGCTTGTGATCATAATAGTTGTTGTTGCTTTCCATTAATGCTCCGAGGTCTCGACAAATAAAGCTAGTCATGGCTGGGCCAGCCCAGCTCATACTGGTCTCCGCGGCAGCCGTTTTTGTTTCCTCACACAACATTCCTCCACCTTTCCTCCTCATCACCATCCTCGTGCTTCTTGGGGTGGAGCGTCGCGTTACGAGACAAAAACGACTGCTTAGTAGACTAGGCTTAAACAATGGACTCCCTTAATTTCGCCGGAGCGTAGTTATTTCAGTTTCCATTGTTGGGCTGACAACAATTTTTGTAAATGCAGTTGGGACTAAGTTGTTTCTGTGATTAACAATTTATGTATGGTAGTTGAAAATGGTACATATTTTGCTCTTTATGGTAGAAATAATGTAAAATGGTTGGTTTTGAAAAAACCAAAACCCAGGCGTATTTTATCCTATTAAATTACTAACGAGTTTTTCTTTTATTTTGTTTTTATACATATTTTTATTAGTTCCCGTTAGGCACCGAGCAATTACCAGGGCTAACAACAGTACAGGTAGCGTTTGTATTAGTTAAAAAGTAATAAACATTTTTTGCCATTTTTCCCTGCCTGCGTAGCGCGTTGTTACGAATTTCTGTTTGCCAGTTACAGAGCACGATTTGCTTTTCGGAGCACTCTTTGTTGTATATTTAGATCTCGTTATAACCAAGTGAAGAACATGCTGCCGGTCTTCTCGCCTCAAACCCTAATAAGGTCGCGACAAAGTGGCTGCTGACATTTTCATCAACAAGAGTTACGGTTGCTGTATCATTGTTGAATTTTTGGGTTCTTCATTCATTTCAGTAAATCACTGTAGGGATAAATAATTTATCCACCCTGTTCGAAGAGAGTTTGAAATTGCTTTCCTGTGCCAGTTGCTTAGTTATTTCCTTTTTTCCCTTTTTTAAATGGTTCTTATTACTGCTGGGGTGCCTCAAGGGTCTAAACTAGACCCCTTGCTAGACACCCCAGGACGTAGACGATACCACGTAGAATTATTGGAGAGGGGCCAAAATTGCGTGTCGTGAGGATCATGGCGCACAAAATCAGTCTTTTCCTTCTTTCATTTAAAATGTTTTCTGGTTTTTTTTTTAACTTTGATTATTATCAACTTTTTACAGCAAACGCTGCTACCGACAACTTACCTTCAAATCAAGAGAATGGCAACGGTAATTATAAAAGATGACATTACCTATTGGCTATAACTTTTAGTTTAATGTATTAACTCTTTCACTTGACAAATAACCTTCCTTTCAATTATAAATTTATATTTGTGAAATCCTAGGAAATAAGTAATACCATACACAAGATGTGTCAAAGAAGTTTTATTTGAATGTAACACCATAGGATATCCTCAGTCTACAGATTTAAAAGTTAGTGCAACAAATAATCTCGCTGTTTCCCGGTCTCGGAGAGATTAAAAATGTCGTTTGCTATTTGGTGAAGAAGTTTCCGCCTTGTTAAGAGTCGAAGAAAATGACTGAAAGACGACAGGACTAACTCCAGTGTCGTTGTGGCGTTGAGGGAGGTGCCCGACATGGTGATTCTCAAATTTGTTCTTTTATACCGACATTAATTAAGGGAGTAGGAGTAGGAGGGGTGGGGGGTGGGGGAGGGGGCGGCTTATTTGAAGGCGGGCGCTTTTTTAACAGTTTTATTTGAACTGGACGCTAATACAGTATACTTTCAGTCGAAATCTGTTCATTGCATCTTCCTCAACTGCCAGTTCTCAATCTTAATTCTGGGCTGATAGAAATTCGGTAAATGCGATCATATTATTTTAACTTTTTTTTAATCTATAAATTCTTTGACATCTTGTAACCTCAAATTATTAACCAATTATTCGAAGCCTAGTATGTTAAGAAGTTTACTTTTAAAACTTCTTTGTAATCTCGACCGTCTTCCCCTTTTCATTTATTCACTATTTTATTTTGTCTTTATATTTATTTATTTATTATTTTATTTAAATTAATTTTGTAAAGTGTTGTAAATACTGAAGTGTAGGTTGTCTATATTTAATTCTAAGGACATATCTTGGATTCTTGGCGAATTCCTTGAATCCATTTTGCTTCACTTTCTCTTTCGTAGAAAGCTACTACAGCTGTTACTACCCAGAAAGCGAAGCCTTCCGCCAACAAGTCGCCGCTATTGTGAACAAATTCCGAGCCAATGGTTATAATGTCATCATGGATGCAATGGTATCCCACGAAATTAGCTCGCTAGGTCCTACAAAATGGGCTGAAGTACAGATCAGAAAAGCGAAAAAAGTGTTGGTTTTTCTTTCTCCCGGGCTTTTGAAATTATCACTTGGATACGAAGACATGCCGCGGTCTGAGGTAGAGTGTAATTGAATATATCAGCACTTCAGAACTTGTTTTATGTCTGGTCTTGACTTCTAATTAGATGCTGATCTGTTTCAGGGATTTACATTGTAATGAAAAAGGCTGATGCATGCCGGTGCTTCATGATTCAAACGAAATATTATTTATAACATCCAACAAAAGTTAAGCGCTCGCTCTGGTTGTGCGCTCAACAAAGCTGTGCGTTCCACTTTCTTAGTGACTATATTTTGTTTTTAATTTGCCTCACAATTTGCAAAGGTTTTTGTGTTAGTACTGAGAGAAGGTTTACAAAAACCGTTACAAATAACGTAAAAAGGCCTTACAGTCCACATTGAGATGGAGAACTTCTTACTCAGCGAAAAGACTTTTAAAAGAAAAGATTTTGCAAAAACAGATTTACGCACGCCATAGCGCCAGCTGCAGCGCGCACAAATGACTTACTTTTATTCCCCAGCTAACTGTGAGAAAAATTAAAGTTGTTCTTTTTTGACGTTATAAAAGAAATGGTAAACGTTGCAGCTGTCCTCAAGGGAGGTTTGCTAAGCACTCAAGAAGCTAGTAAAATTGTCGGCTACGCCTCGAGTAACTCTTACGCTTCCATTTGTGCTTGGCAATCTCCCGCGTGCATCCATAATCCGATAGTTGCATCCTGCTCGTTTACCATTTCTTAAATCTGTAACATTACAACGCACTTTTTTTTTGTCAATGATAGGATGCCAATCGTGTGTGGTGTGAGTTGGAAGTTCTGCGAAGTATCTACAACAGAAGTCGCTCTGCCGCAAAGACGGTTTGCTTAGAGCTGCCAGACATGCCAGTATCGTCAATGGAACATCCTGTGTTTTTTAAAGTTATCTACAAATGGCCAAACGATTTTGAGAAAATCCTTCGTGGTCTAAACGACAGACCTTCTATATTGCCGAAATAAGAAGTCCTGTTTAGGCGCTCTACTGCAGAGTGTTGTTCACAGTTGTGGGTAGCTTACCCATGCCCGTATAGTAGCCTAAGAAAATAACCCACATGATTTCGCAAAGCCACTTCTGGTTTCCCCGCGAGATCAGGTTAGTGACTCGTCATCAGTATGGGGAATTTCTCCGCTCGTTCCTCAGACGTCGCTGGGAAATCAGTAGTGGGCAGTGCTGGATCCAGACCTTGAGATAAGGAAGGGGAGGGGAGGGGAGGGGGGGCGGTCATCCAGACCCTTAGATAAGTTAGATGAGGATGGAAGGCGATTTCCCCCAAATATTTTTTTTCCGCCTTTCGGGCCTCAGTTTCGGGCCTCAGTTTCACTTTCGGGCTTCAGTCTAAAAATAGAGGGGAGGGCGGGCCCCCCGGCCGCTCCCCTGGATCCATCACTGGTGGGGTAGCGAAATGCATGTTGTTTTCTTAGGTTAATTCGGGTAAAACGTCTCTTATCCAAGAAACGGCCAGGATTACAGCAAACGGGGCTTGAAGCAATTCGGCCCTGATACATGCAGTTTTAAGTTTTTTGTTGTATTACTAACACGATACTGTAATCTACTGATCGCCCCAAATTAGGGAATCCAAGACAGGCTTGGATTCTGGATTCCACGCCGTGGATTCGGGTTCCAGGTAGGCTTAGCTACATAATTCCGGAATTTGGGGGGAATTTTAGACATCGAAAAGAATTCTAGAAAATCTCGGAAATTCTAGATAAAAAATGACAAATTTGAGAATTTTAGAGCAATTTGAACATTTACCCGACACTGTGGGGACATTTTACGGGGAAAAATGTTGACAACACGTTTGTTTTTGTATTCCTACCGACCAAGAGAGGGCACCGTCTGCTCACATGCTACAGCAGTTCCTAGAGCACTATAGGACGTTCGTTTGAAAAGGAAGATAAATACATATATAAACAAATGTAAAGTGATGTTTCTTGCAACCTGTAAGCATTGGTAACAAACAATGTTTTACGATTACAACTCATTCTTTCTTGTCATATCGCCATCAAAAAACCGAATTTTTTATGAGAATTTTCGGGAATTTTAGAGAGTTTTTAGAGAATTTAGACATTTCTAAAAAGAATTTTAGAGCTTTTTTTCGGGAACTTCTGGAAAGAACTTTAGGCCATATTTCGGGAATTATGTAGCTAAGCCTAGTTCCACGTAACTGGGTTACGGATTCTTTTTCAGTAGAATCTGGATTCAAGATTCCAGATTCCAGTCACTAGTGCAAAACTGCGCAGGTTGACTGGTAACTAGAACTCGAGGCTCAGAACATGTAACACCAGTTCTTCGTAGACTACTCTTGCTTCCAGTCAGACAACGAATTACGTACAAAATACTACTTCTTACGTACAAAGCAATGAATGGCATGACGCCAAAATATATAGCAGATCTCCGAGGCAATACAATCTTCTTCAAAAAATCTGCTTGTAACACCAAAGTCTAATCTCAAGTTTTAAGGTGACAGATCTTTTCAAGTTGCTGCGCCCAGGCTCTGGAACTCCCTAATCGATGACATAAGATCAATCCAGAACCTTGATGTTTTTAAGAATAAGATTAAAACACTACTTTTTAGAGAGGCTTTTATTAGTTAGTTGACTACCCGTTTTTCTTTTATTGTATATATTTTCCTTAGTTAATCTTAGCAAGTCGAATGAATCTTATTTTGTAGAAATTAATTTCTTCAACTGTCATATATTTTGTTTAATAACTCAAATATTTTTTTTAATTTTTTTAGAATTACGATTATTGTAAAGCGCCATTGAGCTCACGGAAATGGCGCTATATAAATTCTTGTATTATTATTATTATTATTATTATTATTATTATTATTAGTCGTAGTAGTAGTGGGATCCCGATTCCAGATTCCACGAGAAAAAGTTTTCCTCGGCGGAAGTAAAAATTTCCCGGATTCCGGTATCCGTGTTCCCTTATATGGGACGATACTTTAATAGTAATGCTGTCATCAACCACTATACAGAAAGTACATGTATTGTTGATTAGCTACTGTTTTGTGGTGTGCTGCTAAATTAATGAGCATTTTAAAATTCTTAATTCCGTCTTAATTCGGAAATTACACGTTGCCCTGTAAAAAGGTGTACGTAATTTGTTTGGAGAATTTAATTAATGTCCATCATTGCTGTAGGGCGTTTTCACATCACCTTGGCGGCCATATTAGGGTAGCTAAACAATGAAATGGAGACCCTGTTAACGAACAGAGCTAATCCTCTCTTCTCATGTAAACACCTCTTTTTTTAAAATTTGGATAGCTTCTGGCCCACCTAAGTGATAACGCTCTATCCGTTGCCGTGGTGACAATTAAACTTTACTTCTTATTAATGCTATGTTCTTTGGTGGAAAAGAAAGAAAAGGCTGAAGGATTAGTTTTGCTAGAAAAATACGACGTTTAACCAGTGACGGTTAGGTAACACGGGAGATTATTTCAAAAGGGGCATATCCCAGGGATACGAGAGACATGTGAGATTATTCTCAAAGATTAGTGTTTTAAAAGGTTAAGCCAATCGTGGAATCATGCTTGCATTTTCTTTCGAAAATCTGTACTTGTTGTTTAGTTTAGGTAAGTTTCACGTCAAGAAATAATTACTCTTACCATGGCTTATATAGAACAAATTCGTTTAAAGACATGCAAGCCCGTTTCAATCTTTAAGAGCTAAGAGAAACAAACAAACGAATAAGCAAACCAACCAAAACACAAATCTCTAAACGCTTGAAATAGGCCAGATTATTATACGTCTACAGCTACACTGGCGCGCTTGCAAGACATGAGACGGTGGCGTAACTTGCACTGGTGACTTATATCTAGTACATCCTAGTTTTTAATCTTTGATTAATAATGGTAATTGAACTAAGTGGAGTGCAATTTGGTCTGAAATCATACGCGTGATTTCAAAATCGAACGAGCGCGCAGCGCGAGTTTGATTTGAAATCACAAGTATGATGTCAGACCAAAATTGCACGACACGAAGTTCAATTACCACTTTATTACATCCATTTTGAAATCGCAGAATTTAGTCAGTACTAATATTTTATTGATCGAGTAGCCGGTTTGTTAAAAAGCCGAAACAAAAAGGCTTTTACATCTCATTTTGTATTCGAAACAGAAATGATGCAATATATAGAACAAAAATGGTGCGATTTAAAACAGAAATGATGCGATTTAGAACATGAATGACGCGATTTGGAACAGATGCGATTTAGCGCAAAAAATGGTGCGATTTAGGAATAAATCACACTGCTGAGAGCCAATCAGATTGCAGATTTCAAAGTGGATGTAATAAAAACAGTAGCACGCGGAAATTTGGAACGTCGTCAGGTTTAAAATATAAGGTGGGAAAGCTGCGTCAGTTTTGAATTTTGTACAAAGACTTAGTTTCGAAATTTTACCGATTAAATAAATGCTGTTTAAAAATTGGGCTTTAAAGGGATATTGTATACTGTAAGTAAAAAATATTTTTCTGCTACTTCTGAATGTACTACTTCTACTATGTAGTACTATCTTCATATTTTTATAATTATTATTCGTAAAACGGCGAGAGAGAGAGAGAGATACGTCTGGATACGAGGCAGTGACAATTATATTTTTTTTGGAGTGTTGTGGAAACGCCATATTGATCTTCCCCTTAGCTGGATATGGGGGACGGGGGGGGGGATTTGGGGGGTAAAGGCCCCCAGACCTCCGACAACACCACCCCTGATCACTGCAACCATTTTGGGAAAATACGAATATTCCGATGAGAAGTCTATGACTGAAGAATTGTTAAAGTCCACAGAGTAGCCGAATACCTGAAAAACTCATGGCAGCGACCTTGGCCGGAACCACTGAAGCTCGACCGTACCGTGACTGTGCCTTGAAATCCTTGGGAACTGCCCACCACCCACGCAAACGTAGAAACCCACGCCGTCGCACTTCGACATAATTTCTTCGCGTAATGACGTATTAATTTAGTATGGCTCGATCTTGGCTATTTGTGTCGTTTCGTCCGCGCTCATCAGAGGTCGACGTAGTGTGAAGTTCTTCTGTTGACTGTAAATTTGACTGTAAATTCGTTCAATGATTGTTTAAGTTACAATGATAACTCTCACGTCCACTGGAATTGCCATACTACTGTTGGGCCTCGCTCAAGATTTCCTGTCTGTTCCGTTGTTTGTGAGAGGAGAAGATCAAACGCCTGATAGAACTTCTCGTGATCGACGATCCATTTGCCACTATCTCTGCAGTTCTAGGATAAATGAGCCGTTCAGAAAGGTACGATTTAGGATTCATCATTTAGATTGGAAAGCTATTCTTTGTTCTACTAATTCTGTTATTGTGTACAGTAAATCATAATATTATTTCATCCTAAAGGCCACTTTATTCGCTTCTTCGATATGCTTGGTAGAAAGTGGGATGAAATTGCAGTTTTCAGCTGTGTGATCGTGAAAAATTCGAAAACTTATGCTCTCTTAACTCTACGTGGCTCAATGTCAACAAGTGCGTGCAGTTTCTCTTTCCCTCAGTCGACCTTATTTTGACTGAGAATCACGCCGAAGCCATGCTGCTCTGAGGAATCTAGAGGGATAACATAGATAACTTTAAAATCTTTTCTTTACACATGATTGCTTCCTATGAGTGATATTCATTTAGGCAACCGTAAAACTTGTTGTGGTCCGAGATGGGAAAGAATACGTAGTAGATTGAATCGGTATTTTAAAATCTCTTGTCAAGGTATTTTATTTGAACCGTTTCAGCTACGGAAAGTAAAGAATCAGAGAAAAATCGCCGAGACCAAGTTACATTCAAATGTAATCGTCGAACGGACATCATCTCTGAAACGAACGAGTTTATTCTTCGAAACAACACGCGAATTAGTAATTTGATATTTGACGAAAAAGAAGTCACGCTACATGTATTTGCAATGCATACACACTCACACAGTGTCAAGCTTTTGCGGTTAATACTCGTACATATACGTGGACTGAGACTGTCGTGAGGGCTTTAAAGTTGTTAATAATTTACACATAACGATATAAAACAATTTATCATAATTGTTTTGTTCTATTCCTCAGACGGAATGGAATCAAATGTACTGAATTGAGAACGAGTTCCTGTCTCCACCTCCTGTCTCGCATCTTGTCAATTTCACGGCCGTTTCTGATTTATTTCCTTTCAATAGTTGTTTTAATCACAAAGGGTTTCATCACTAAAGTAGTATATGTTTATAAACCTGCTTGCAACATGGGAATGCAAATTTATGTACTGCATGATGTTTTGTCTAGCGAGTAGGTAACATTAATTACAGGTACGGCCTCCCAATTGCATTTTCCGAATGCAGCCGGTTCCCTATGAAGTGATACGCTTTTTACAAGCTAGAGAAATATTATCTTCGATCTGGATAGACATCAAACATCCCGTACTGTTTTTCAACACCAACGAAAATATTCCAGATTTACGGCTCTAGTGGCTAAATTTTCTTTTAGAAAGGGAAAAAGTCATTTTGGCCCTTGGCGAAATATTTATGATCGCTGCGGGTGCAAATGATTGATTACTTCTTTTTTTCGGCAGGTGGTTGACTTATGTATGGATCTTTATGTTTAACCAGGCATGAAGAAGTTTTGAAAACGTTAAGACTCGATTAAAGTTGAAATATACACATATGGATTACATATGTTTATTGCAATTCAAAATATAGGCTTTTCACTGAGTTACAAATATTTCTTACTATATTAATACTCGCTTACAAGTAACAATTAAAACTGATGAAGAACAAAAAACAATTACAAAAAATACATTAAGAAAATGCTGGTGAATAAGTAATTGTGCATTGAGAGGATAATGAATAATTTATTCAAGTATTTTTAAAATTTCACTATACATAAGTTCGTTACCTAGAGGCGTATTTTGGAAAGTGCGTTTAACAACGTTCACATCGCTTACAGACCCAAAGCCTTTGCTTAAGTAACTATATGTCTACTCCGGTCCTGATAAGCTTAAGGTGTATAGACTTCTGTCTGTTTTTATTACCTCTGTCCACTCGAGTACGGTCTAGTAAACAGGGTCCAAAAGAGTCCCTCACGGATGAAATAAGGCTTTGTGCAGAGAGTGGTAAACGCATATTAACCCTTTCGACTACTTTGCAGTGTTGGCTTTCTACAAACTTGTTCAAAATTTCCACCTGCCTGACATTGAAATTTCGACTTCCTGTGTTCTATATTAAACTAGCAGTCATACTCTTCTGTCAAAAAAAAAAACACATGATTGTTTAATATTTTCAACGGCTTTTGTTTGTTTGTATATTATCACCTGAGTTTTTTAAAGAGGGTAAAATACAGGAGGAAAACCGCGCGTGGAGATATTATGTACTAACCCTTTACAGAAATTCGTTAAGTGCTGACTGTATTATACGATTATGAAAAGCCCAGTAAACATATTAACCTGTATTGAAACACCGTGCTCGAAAAAATCGGCGGGCAGAGCTATTATGTCATGCGAAAGACCAAAGTCAGGAGCTTATGAAGTCAGAGGCTCCTGACAACGTTAATAACAAGGCAAAAATTTGAATTGATAGGATGCACAAAGGCTTTAATGAATAAGCGCAAAGTCCAGTTTATTTTGGTCATTGAGAAGATTTCTATTGATGTGTAAGTGAAGGAAGTCCAAATTGTTACGTCAAAGACGACGAAGGTTAATATGCAGCTAAGGCCCAGTTTTTCAACGGCCGATTAGCGCCAGCCCAGGGTTAAAATTTGAATCCGGGTTTCTTTTTCCCTTGTTCAAACGCATTTTCTCGCATAACTTTTTCAATTTTTGGTAGAGCATGCAATTAACCAATTGTATTTAAAAGGAATTAAACTCAATTTCCTTTTTAAGCTTTGATATATGAACTTAACCCAGCTTTGAACAACCCGGCCCAGAAGTTTAAAATTCGCATGCATGTAAGCAATGCAAGTGTGCCCGTTCCCTTCCGGGGTGCATTTCAAGGTCATTTTTCAGATCGTGTGTTCCCGGGCCCACGGTGGGCCATTTGTCATCAAGGGTGTGCCCAGGGTGGGGAATTTGTCATTGAAGAATTTAATATATTCTACCACAGTTCAAACAACAACAACAACAAGGACAAAACAAGAATAAGTTACAACATGCGGGGAGGAAGATCAGAAAAGGCGGAACTGACAACTTTTCGTAGGGTTTACATGCAGAAGTTCGGTCCGTCAGGTCACCGAGTAGATAGGGAATTAAAGATGACGGGCGACAATAACAATTAAGAAAAAAGCAATTTGGGCCCTAGAACGAGGATCTTCCTAGCGAAAGCAGTTTACATGGTGCCAGGATCTTCCTAGTACTAGGATCTTTCTACTACCTCTCAGCTAAAATCTTAGTATTGGGATGATCCTAGCGCTAGTATAGGGACAGGTGCAACCCTTTGCATGTAAACTGAATACAGGAAACATATGGCACTATGATGATCCACCTTCTAGGATGTTCCTGCCTCCACGTAAACGGGTTCTAATGTGTTTCTTGTATTATTATTACTTCAGGGAACTTCATTTGATCGGTGTTTCAGAGAATGCTCCCTCAAGAAAAGAAAAGGTAAAGTTTAAACACAAACGGCCCAATTAATTTTAATAATTGTTGACAACTGAACAGAATTTTCCTTTTTCCAGATTCAGGTGAAAGTTTATCTACTGTTGAAAAAAAGGATGATTTGAACTTTCCTATGACAAGATCACGACGGGAGACCAAAAATTCGTATGAAGGTAGGATAGCGGTCGTGCTTCATCAAAATTTGAGTATTGAGTATTTGGCGTTAGTTTTGTCGTACAAAAAAGTTCTAAAATTATGCGTTTTACAAGAATTTGTTTTCTCAACACAGATTGCCCAAGTAATAAGCATTTTCCTTTTGGATACATCGTGGAAAAGGACAAGATAAGTGTGGATTTTAAGAAAATGAAACCGAACCTTACTGTTGAGTGGGAACCGGAGCATCAAAGTAAGTGAGATAGGTGGTTAAACGCTACGAAGATTGTTTCTGTGAAAGTAAATTATAGTTTCCCCACACACTTCTTGTCTACCCGCTTCGGTACAGAAGGAAACATAAGTCTGTGGTGACATTCCTCAAGGGTATGCGTGCCCCATGGGGGTACCCCTCGGAATTCTTAGTTGGGAAGTGCTGGTCCGATCTCCCAAATGTAATAGAAAAGATCTTTATGCTATCTGTAGTTATCCAAGCCTTAAAAAAGTCGGTTATGTTCCTCTGTACACCTTTCGCAAACCGTTGTTGGATATACAGCGACTTGGCTTTTGAAATCACCTTGCACAGCACATCAGCCAGATAAGATTCACCCTGTGCAGATTCACCTGATCACCGCAGTGTCCGTAATAAAGAAGCTTATATGAATATACTCTCTCTCTGGGGCCGAGATTTTGTGTCCGTTGTCCATATTAGAGAGAGTCTGTTTTATAGAGGGTTTTTTTTACAGAAAATATTAAATGAGAATTTTTTCGGGACATTGGAAACTGTCCGTAATGCGGAGGTGTCCGTACGGAGAGGTTCGACTTTATCATCTAAAATCCATACCTGTTTTCAGGCCTGGCTTATATAATTAGTTATGGACTCGAAGTTGTTTTCGGTTTCGTGAACTCATTACTTCTGACCGAGGGAAGTCAACATATTTTTGAAACGTTTTATTTTCTTGTATTTTCTAGTAGTATTTGACAATAAACATTGTTTGTGGTACAAAATCCTACACCTCAATAAATCCTATATGTCCCTTTTGCGCCATTATAAATACACTGAAACGAAACGGCCATTGAAGTGACCGTACATACTTCATAAAGAGTTTTGTCTGTGTTGTTTTCTTACTGTTCGCCCCATGTAAGGGAATCCGGATTCTGGATCGAATCCGGGAAATATTTGCTTGTGGAATCCGGAATCTTGGGCCTTGGAATCAGGAGTACAGCTCAAGGAATCCGGAATCCCACTGACGATTGGAATCCGGAATCCAAGATCTTAAATCCAGTAATTGAAATCCGGAATCCACGGCGTGGAATTCAGAAACAAAGACTGTCTTGGATTTTCTTACATAGGGCGATACTGTTTTTGGTTTTATTAATATCACCTGTAGTTAGAAAGTTAAAATGGCTTTTATAGGACCGGAAACAGTAAGAAAACAACACAGACACAACTCTTTATGAGGTACATGGCTGTTTATGTGCATGTTAACTCTTTTATCGATCTTACGATAAATTACCATACACATACAAATCCTTTTAATTTGACTCCCAGTGGGCTTTTGTGGGTGCTTGGTTACTTTCATGTATCACGTTCTGGTTTATCCACCTAACTCAATCACTCTTTGTAGCTAGTAATAGTTGACACTACAGCTGCCCCCGCTCTGTATCTTGTCAGTCATTGTAGCCTTGGTTTTTTTGAAGCTCCTTGAAATACAGGTGTATACAGATTCATTTTGAAGATTTTCACACATAAAACATACAACAGGTGAAACAAAAAAGCAGTCAGGTTGATCAGTACGCAGCGTTGATCAAAGAACCCTCGGCGTTTCGATAATTTTTTCACACGCCTTCTAGAGGAGAGTCGAGTCTACATTTTCGCGGCGTAAGCTGCCGAGCGAAAAGTATGGTACTGTTACGCACTTCGCTCACACTGTGAAAATGTATCCACTTCTCGCAGGGTATAGTAATCGTTCATCATTCTGCTGATAGAAGCTAGCTTGATTTACTCGTTCGCTTAGGAAAACTTTCTTGTCAGTGGACGGAGCCTTACATTCACGACCCCAAAGTGATTTGTGTCTGACAAAGTTCAATCGTTTCCAATCATTTGTAAATGATAAACTCGTTCTAACGAATCCTCTAAGTGCATATACACAGTAGTTATACGGCACTTATAACTCTTAATACGTCCGCGCTTATTGATTTTCGGTCCATAATTTCGGTCATTCAAGAGATTTTCTGTTTTATGGTCTGTGGGTTTTTGATGCTTGTTAAAGAGAGTAAAACGAGACAAAGAAATGAAAGTTCCAAAACAGCTGCCTCACAGAATGCACACACGTCGTGCATGAGAGTATTGAACTATGACTTTACAATGACTGTCACAAAATCAACCCAAGCGGTCCCTTGGGGAATTTTCTGTTTTACGTCATCTAAACCATTTCGTATTTGTGGACATTCAGCTATTTTTAGGGCTAAAAGGTCATCATTACCCAAAGATTCCTCGCGGCCCCCTGTTTAAGCAAATCGAGATTTTCTCTGGTATACTACCTGCATACTGTAACTGTAAGTACATATATAGGTCAAATTTGATTCAGGTTGCAATTTTTCAATTTGGGTTGATTCTCAATTTCCCTTGTCTTCTAGGGCTAGGAAACAAAGAAAATTGAGAATCCTTCTAGGTTAAATCAAAATTAACGTAAAAACAAATTTGACCTGTAACATATACGCGCGAGCTATTAGGATGCCTCCTCGAGGTTTTGCCTTCTGGGCAAAAACCATGACAGGACAATTATATGGTGGCTCTTTCAGATTTTTACAACTGGACTTCCTATGGTTTGCTCTATCATGGCTTAAAAATGGATCAGCGGCATGCCTGCATAATAGTACCAAAAGTGAGTATCTATACTAGATTACTCTTCCTTAAACTCGGAACGGCGAGAAGCGATTCGACATCGCCAGTACCTGTTTTTCTGTCTCCTCTGGTCATGATTGAAGAATTGTACAATAATTCCAACTTAATCATTTTGCGACTCAAAGTTGTTTAGGTGGGGCAGATGTGCGAAACTTGGGGTATAGTACTTACCATTTGCATGGGAGAACCAGAAATTCCGTTTGCAAAGCTTCAAAAAACATGGACTGTGATCTGAGCCGATGCCCTTTTTCCAGTCTTAGCTTAATGCATTTTAGCGGGCGTTCTTCCACCACGTCAAATTGTATAGTTTTATGTTTATGCAAAAGACTTCCACTCGAGTGATTTGTGTAAATGGTAAGCACCGAGCTTTTGGTTAATTTTTTGTTAATTTTTGATGTATTTTTAAGCACCAAGCTTGGTTTCCATGAATTCTTATAACATTAATACTTCTACGTGAGAAATGTCTGCAATTTGATCGGCTTAGAGCAGCGGTATTTCAGCTTAACTTGAAATACCTACATGTGATAATAACAACCTTTTGCGGGTAGTATAAACAAATATTAGCATGATTTGTACGTGATATTTGGCATAGATACCACTCGTGATATTTCAAAACTGTCTCAAATTTCACTCGCCCAACGGCTCGTGAAATTACGTATAACAGTTTTGAAATATCACTCGTGGTATTTATGCCAAATATCACTACTAATCGTGCTATTACCTATACTAACAATATATTTTACATGTACATTTTTACTGGCTTAACTTTTGCGCTACAAAGTTACATTTCCTTTCAAGGTCTGTTCATATCCTTGCATTACTCTACCGAGTAAACTAAAAGTAACTTGTATTAGTCGCGATAAAAAAATCCTTCAGAGATGATGACTTCAGTTCTTGCCCTTTGTCAGACCGCCTCCCACGCAGAGGTTGTTACCGCTTCGTTATGCGGACCTTCCATGTAAGGGAAGCCCTATAAGCGCTTAGAGCGTCTCAGCTGGCGTCTTCGTGGGAGGCTGTTTCTTTAATTTCACGTTCTTGAATATTTTTAGAGTTACTCACCACGATGGCTGTCACCGCTTTAGCTGAGACACATCGATAATTAAGTGTTTATGAGTCATGTGTCAAGTATGCATAAAGCCCAATTTTCTCGGATTTGCTTCCAATAACTGTTTTGATAGATACGTACGGTACATATATAGTAACAAACCTAACCTTAACCTTAAATAAATGCTAAGTATGTGGAATCACTAGGCTAATCCCTATGGTCGGTTGTGCGTTAACCTAGTGATCACTATTGTCAGTGTTTGACCATAATCAGTGCTTTTAGTGCCTAGCCTAACGACTATTTACAGGGAGTAACCATAACTAGACACATAACTAGATCCATGACTCCTTAACTCATTTGACTCACAAAACAAACTTTGCCGGGACGATAATATAATATGGCATTTATCTGGTTTTGTTCAAGGATCACTACAAGGATCCGTACCGCAGGGATAAGCTTCAATGGATTATTGCAGATGGAGAAGGTCCTTGGAAGTATCCTGAGCCCATCGTCCTTGTGGTAAGGAGCTAGCGCAATGCTGTATATTTTTGCGTGGATCTGGCTACGTTAATTTATAGCCCTTAACTTGCTAGTAAAAAGATAATTTATTTGCTATTAATACTAATTTGAACTTCGCAGTCGGTGTAAGACCTCAGTTTACCTTTCGTAAATGGTCGGTGTGGCGGATTTTTGAGAGGCGATTCGCCCCATGTAAGGAAACCCAAGACAGTCTTGGATTCTAGATTCCACGCCGTGGATTCCGGATTCCAAGTACTGGATTCCAGTCTTTGTCGATCAGTGGAACTTCGATTCTGGATTCCAATCGTTAGTGGGATTCCGGATTCCTTGAGCTGTATTCCAGAATCCAAAGCCCAGGATTTCGTATTCCACAAGCAAAATTTTCCCAGATTCCGTAATCGCGATTCCCTTACATGGAGCGGGTTGATGCCATCATTGGTGATGGGTAATCCTAGGATAAATGCCTTAAATGAAGTTACAATAGAGCAAAAGTACAACTTCAAGCCCAAGTTGAATTTACGTTTGATTACGTTCGGGAGAGGCCTAGGCTCACCTCTCAAAGATGTATCAGTGACAAAAGACAATTTAAATGAAGATATGATCATCGCAGTTGTAGTCACAATTTAATTAAATTGTAAGTTAAGTATAAGCTCGAACATAAATGAAAAAAAAAACAACAAAACAAAATGGGGCTTCAACGGCATCGAAACCCATGGCCTCAGCTGTGTTGGCACTGCGTTGCTCTACCAACTGAGCTATAAAGTCCCATACTTTTGCAGAGGGCCAACTTTTTTGAGTTTATCTTTGACACATGAAAGCCTCAAACTTTCTTCATTCCAAGTTATAATTAATTAATTCCAAGTTATAATTGATGAATGAGGCTGAGTATGATACGAAGGAGGTTGTTATAGAGGCTGAAGGCCGAGGTGGATAACACCCTCCGAGATCTGCTTAATTCTTCATATCCTACGAAAGCCGACTTCATTAATTGCTTTATTATTCATTCAAAAAATTAATAATTCCAAGTTTAAAAACATAGCTAAAACGTGCTTACCTGCATCGCTGTTAAGTTTATCTTCGATAGTGTACGTTACGGTTTGTCCAGCTTCGCAAATATTCTCCAAATAGCAGATGTCGCCGTCCGAGTTGCCTTCTTGCTGTTTTTGCTATGTTTTTAGCGATTATTTCGCCTAGTTCCAGCTGTAGTTCTTACTCTTGAAACGAGTGAAGTGTTCTCCATTTTAGTTTTCACAACGGAATCAATTCAACCTCGTCCCCAGGTCTTCTCGGGTAACGGTGCATTAACCTGTAGCGGGCTGCATTTTTGACGTCATTTCCTCGTTAAACACAAAATTCTTCCAAATTTGGTCATCAGTAACTGGTTATGGTGAATTGTGCGTGTGCTTTTAACCAATCAGAATCGGGGAAACAGTGAATGAATAATAACGTAAGTTATTGTTTATCGCTTTTTTCTTTATAGATCTTCACATATCCTGGCTTTTATCAAAGCTTGCCTTTGGAAAAATATGGTACGAATTTATTTTTATCAGTTGTGGAGGATAGCTCCATGTGAATTACACGGTAGCCTGTAAGAGTAGCTATTTTTAAGCCTAGGCCAAACGTCGACCTTTTCATGAGACGAACCAAACTTTGGGTCGACCTAAATTAAGTTAAGATCGTCTGTTGGGGCAGACGTCCAACTTATCAGCTAAGTCAGACGAAAAATCAGCCAGTAAAAAAAATTCTCCCTAACATTTCATACAAATTTTTAATTTGTTAGTTTAGTTCGTCGCATGTGAAGATCGACGTTTGTCGATCCCGGAGACGATCTTCAGACGTTCTATCCGTCTGAAGCAACTCGATTCGAGACGGATACAACTTGTTGGATGATCCTAACTCATTCAGACGAAGTTAACTGAGCCAGACGTTGAACTTTCCCTGCAATATCTGATGAACTTCAACATCCTCTGTAGTAACCAATACGGCTTCAGGAAAAATCATTCCACTGCACTCGCGCTAATCGACTTGCATGATAAGATCTCTACTGCCTTTGACCGAGGTGAATTTTCCGTAGGTATTTTTCTTGACCTCTCAAAAGCCTTTGACACTGTAAATCATATCATCCTTTTTGATAAACTCGAACATTACGGTATTCGTGGCTTAGCGCTGGACTGGATAAGAAGTTACTTTTCAAACAGAAAGCAATATGTTGAATATAATGGCCACCGTTCGTTAAGAAATGAAATCTCTTGTGGGGTCCCTCAGGGTTCTATCCTCGGACCTCTATTTTTCTTACTGTACATTAACGACATCAACAATGCTTCTAATCTATTAAATCTGATATTGTTCGCTGACGATACCAATGTATTCATGTCACATAAAGATCTGAACTATCTCTCAGATATGTTAAACTTGGAGATGGACAAACTGTCAATCTGGTTTAAAGCAAACAAGCTTTCTCTAAATCTTAAAAAGACTAAATTTATGGTCTTCAAACCAAGACAAAAGCGTTCAATTTGTAATATTCAAATAAGTATAGATAATCAAAATATTGTTAAAGTAAAGGAGACAAATTTTCTAGGCGTAATTTTGGATGAAAACCTAAATTGGAAGTCGGAAATATCTCACGTTGCAAGTAAAGTTGCGAAGTCAATCGGTATAATATCTAGATGCAGCTTCTTTCTTCCTAAATCGTCTTTACGTATGCTCTACTATTCCTTAATTTATCCTTATTTTTACTACTGCAATATCGTTTGGGCTCCGACCTATAAAACTAATCTCCGCCGCCTTGTTATCCTGCAAAAGCCCATTATTAGAATTATTAATAAATCACATTTTAATGCTCATACTGACCCCATCTTTAAGGACCTCGGTATACTAAAATTTAATGATATCCATTTGCTTCAACTGGGCCAATTTATGTATTCTTGCAAAAATTCATTCTTACCACCAAAGTTTAATAACAATTTCTCTCAAAGCAATCAATTCCACTCTTACAATACAAGAAATTCCCAGGCCTACCGTCTACCGTATTGTCGTACAAACACGAAGAAGTTCTCGCCCTTTTTTCAAGGGCCTAAGTTTTTTAATTCACTTGACAACAAGATCATCAACTCTCAATCCCTCTCCTCTTTTAAGAAAAAACTGAAGATTAAATTATTGAGTAAGTATGAAAACAGTTTATAAATCTTTCCATCTTCGACTTTTCGCCTTCTTCTCTTCAATTGATGTGAAACAGCTCTAGCTCATATATAGTTCGAGGAGGCCTAACCTCTCATAAGCTCCTATAGTTTCTGTTAGGTCTCCTCGCCACTTCTTTTTTTTTTTTCTTCTTCTTCTTTTCCTATATTTTTTGTAATTAGTGTGGCAAATAAAATAAAATAAAAATAAATAAATATAAAATAATGAACTTAACTCACTAAGTTTAATGCGTCTCATGAAAAGTTCGACGCCAGGGCGCGACGGGATATATATGGAGGCAGGATGTCTGGTGCAATCCATAGCTGGAACATGCATTAAATCGCTCTCTACTCGAAGACCCAGGGGCAGTCAGTTGAGTCGGGAGAATAGACGCCCATCTTTAGAACTTTTGTAGCATATTTTCTCCCGACCCTACTGAGTCTCCTAGTATACTCCCTACAGTAATACAGTGGCCCATTATCCTCGACTAACTTATTTTTTAACCATACATAGGTTAACTAAGGCCAGGTCATCCCTTGGCCTCGTCAGAAGATTTCTTTTGTCTCATTTTTTGGGAGACTTTTCTATTGTATTTATTTAAATTTAAAAGCGGAGTTTCTTGATACACGAGGATTGTTAATTATAGAGCGGCGTTCTGATTTTCTTTATAAATGTCTTTTTAGCGCCTGATCCCCCAGAGCCTCCAACTCCACCTCCAACCTCTAAAGGTATGTGGCTCTAAGTCGGACTATTATGCCGTAATATCTTAGATGACAAATTGCTCTAAATTTTGGCGCGAAATCTCAACGTTTATTCATGTAATGTCAAAATTGTTATGGCAACGTTCCGAATGGCTCCGCATTGCCAATATGGCGTCAAGTTTTCAAAAACGGGCGAATAGATATAGGAATGACTCCGATCTTTTATTGAAAGATAGAAAAAGTAGTGAGATAAAAATTTAAAATTGTCTTTCCACCGTTTGACTCGATGGTGAACGACATCACCGAGATGTGTGACTTCTGTTGTGGTTTTCGTTTTCCAAATAAAGCAGACACTGAAATCAAAGTACAAAACATTTTTGTTTGGTACAAAAAATTCCAAAACTCAGAGCAAAAATTAAGAAGAAGAGACGAATATTCAGTGTTCAGTGGTAATGAGGAAATATTATCACAGCGGCCACTTCGGACTGCGAGAATACAGCTAGAATACTCCGAGCTCTTTGGGTATATATAACCACTAAATGGTTACCGTGCAGGAATGGCGGGCTCCGAACGCTGATTAAACGCTATGGTTAAATTTTCATTGTCACAATTAAAGTGCAACCATTGTGTTTTGTTTTCTCCCCCCTATTTTTTTTATTTAGAAGGTTCTCATACCAAGATTATAGCCGCAGCTGCAGGATTGTTTGCCGGCCTTATGTTGCTATTTGTTATTGTGGTGGCTTATCGAAAACGGGTCAACGTTTGCCAAACTTTTTCGCGAGGTACGTGAATTTATTCTATAACTACTGTTGTCAATTGGTACCTGAGGCGTCCAAAGACAAACAGTAAACTACCATAATATCAACATTTTTTAAAGTTTCAAAACACGTATGCAAGATTTTTTCCACCAGTAATATCAAAAGGCCTAAACTTGTCATGGGAAGGACAATAAGTATGAGCTTTGTTATAGTCACGCATGTGTACTGACGTAATAATTATTGGGCCGTCGCGGAATATTGTTCAGCGGATTGTACACGTACTCTTAAATGAAACTACATCTTCACGCATTTGGTAAACCTTGTGTTGTTTAATCATGGTTTTTCTTTAGGAAACAGAAATATCTTGGAGAATGTTAGGATTAATAACCCATGTTGTGTAGGTATGTACTGTGTGACTACCTTCTCAATTCCCCCCTCTAACACTGGACGAAAAAACGGATTTACCTCTATAGCAAATTTGGAGCAAATCATCTGCAAATGCCACATTTGCTTAATTTTGCTCAATTTTGCCACATGACATAGGACCAACTTTGCCATAATTTTGCATCAGTGGCAAAGGTGGTAAATGCCGAATTTGCCTCAAATTTGCCCCGTGTGTAAAAACAAGGATAACCTTTACTTTATCAAAGCATTTACAGGGGTGTCAAACTTGATAGCAAAACTGACATTTGTCAGGTTTTTGCCCAAATGGGCAAAAGCGATCGAAGATGAATTTTTGAATGCTTTTGCTCTCTATAGCAAATTCGGTCAAAGTAGTAATTTGCCACATTTTTGCTCAATGTAGCAAAAGTGACCAAAACTCATTTTTCAACAGTTTTGCCCAGGATAGTAAATCTGAGCAAAAATTCACGTTTGCCACTGTTTTGCTCAGGGTAGCAAATTTGGCCAAATACCACTTTTTTCTCAAGTTTGCTCAGGATGGCAGATATGATCAAAACAGTAGTTTCCCATACTTTTCCCCATTGTAGCAAAGTTGATCAAATATCAGTTCTTCTGTATCTTTGCTCAGGATGGCAAATATTGCCATGATAGCAGTTTTCCATACTTAAAGTAAGGTAAACAAAGTTGATTAAAATATCACTTTTTTACACTTTCTTTCAAGATAGCAAATTTGATCAAAACATCATTATCCAGATGTTTCTTATTTTTATTTGGTACCATAAATGACTCACAAACAATTAAGACACCAAACAAAATTTCAAGAATAAAATGACTTTATTATCTTTAATATACACTGTACAATAAAAAGCAAGATAAATTAAAAGAAAGTTCCATTGGCCTCTGCAGGGCACTGCATGTACCACAAAATATATGCCTTTAAATAAAAGCACATACAATGTGAAACTATCTAAATTCATAAGTGTATAAGAATGTACATTGGGTTTGAAAGTGCAAGTCAACACTAGCTGGTTCATAATTATCTAAGGTTGGTACAGGTAAAACGTAACTCCATTTGAGTGGTATACTTCAAATATACTCTTTCTAGATTCAATTGATACTATTGGCAAATGGTTGTACGATGACAACAAGTACACATCACTCCCAATGTAGATGTGACATCCTTACTAACGGACAGAACATCAACCACAGGAAATAAAATTAGCCTCAAATTATTATGATAAGCGATATTTCTCTAATTATTATTTATAAGAACTTGTTTTCATCTGATAAATATTATCCACTACCCAAAATAGGCAGTGAATAATATCATATAGTGTACCTAGTGCTATTCACTTACCCCAAGGGGAGATACATCTGTATGATTCATTTTTAACCAAATCAGTTATATAAAAATATTTCTTGTAAATAAAATGAGTTACTATGCGAAAGCTCTGTGCATTTCTATGATTTGGGTACGACTTTGATATATTTCTACCCAGCAGTAAACACTTATAAGGTTAATTTTGTCACCTTTTTAGCATGTACATGTATTTTATTTTACAGGTGCTTTATTTACTGCTAAACCTCTAAAACTAGCATGAAATGACACCCCAGTTTTACTCTCATCCTATAGGTAGCCAAAAGCTTTTCAAGTTATGAAAGCAAATCTGCTATCCACTGATTTGGTTAAATACTTGTATTATTATTATTATTATTATTATTATTATTATTATTATTATTATTATTATATCACTGTAAATAATAAGATTTGGTGAAATTCTTGTATTATTATATGACCATAAATAATTTATTACATTTGTTTTTTTTACTAAAATCAAATTATTTGCTAAAAATTTGAGCAATTTTTTTCTGATTCACATGATCAGCTGTTTTGCTTGCAGTATTGGACTGATTAAATATCCAAATTATCCAAACACAATCTATACACTATGAAAGCTCTGTAGAACTTCTTTAATTCATCATCATTATTATTGTTATTGGCATGCAGGTGATTAAAATTTAAGCCATGCTTATCAAAAAACTGTTATCACACACGGTATTTTTTTTTTGCATAAAACATAACTGCACTCTTTTTTCATAAAATATGCCAAGAACAAAATAGGATCATGGCATTTGGAGTCCAGTAATTACTCTACTATGGGGTGTATTGGCTAGATTTAGTCCTCGGAGTGGCACTTTTTAAGGCAGTGCTTAGGGTAGCCCTAGGATTTGTCACGACTGCGGAAAGTGGATGCAGATGTATCTCCAATTACATATGTTGGGTGAATGGACACGATGACTGAAAATACAGCTGCATTTACAGGCTACTAGATGGAAGGTTTTTAAAATTCAGTAAAGTTGCCAAGTTACAGAGTGATTCGGTGCAAACTAACAAGGACAGCTCTGCAAAGATGGCAAATTTTGCAGACATTTGTCTGGTAAGGGAAAGTTTGTGGCTCCACCATACCATACAAAGGTCATTGAGATTATGTGACTTTGTGTCAACACTTTATTTCACATCGGACTAATCACAAACAGCGTAAGAACCTAGCCAATCACAAAACGCTGACATACATGCATGTCTTTGTGACCCAGTGGGATTCAAACATGATATTGTGCACTAATTCTCAGACGGCATGCTCTATACAGAAGGTTTAGAGTGTCTGCAACACAGGCAAGATCTTCATTGGATTGTGACAAATCACTTTGAGATTTGGTAATTTACCTAGTTTTAACGTGGCTCCTTCCCATGGGTGTCAAAGGATATTCACTTACTACATTGTAGGTCTTCATCAAAACTCAAAAAATTGTGCAATTGTCTACTGAGTAAATATGATTCTAGGAACTTAACTGAAAAGGAACTGAATCATGATGCATGTCAACTTCAACTTGAGTGTTATTATTATTTTGTACATTTTTATCTAAAATGTCTTCTTCTTTTCTGAATGTTCTTCAAAAAATTACCTGTGTTATGCTTATGATCAAGTTCCTTTTTCTATTGTAAGTGGTGGGTGCCAGAGCAAACTCAGGAGCATCGTCTGGTGCTCTATTACCATTATTTTCACTTCATTGACTTTGACACCATGCAACTTTGCGGTCCAACTGGGCCATTAAACCATTAACCTCAATGCTCTGCCAGGAAAGTGGCCTTACACAGAGATTTTCCCTGTTTGGGAGGTCCTCATCTGAACCTGAAGAATTACCTTCATGCCACTCTGATACAGCTGTTTCAGACAAAGACTCCTCTGATGACATATATGCAAAGGACATACATGCAAGGTACTTGTCCTTGTCTGACTAACTGATGCTAGTTGACTCCCTCAGAGCATATTGGCCCTTTAATTTTTTTTCTGAAAGAAAAATGACGAACCATGATTTAGCAGCCAACAAGTAACCCACAGTTGGTAAACAAGCATGTACTGCTCATACTCAGTGTAAATGATTGGGTTGCAGAACAATGACACAATGCTAAAAGCTGAAAACACTCTCTTAATCAAAGGAACAGTTTGAGGATATTTGTGAGAAAAATTTCTCCCCGCATTTTATTCCTACTAACTTTTTCATTAAATAATATAATATGTTTTTTGGAACAGGTGTTAAAGTAGAGAGCAGAAATGCCTCTTTCTGTTGAATCTGCATTTGTTTCATTAAGACTCTTTTAAGTGTAAATAAAGACTGAAATAAATTAATTCCCCTGTCATTCAAGAGCAGAACTGATAGTGTCCGACAGGTCACCAGGCTCTAACAGAGCACAACCATGACTTAACTGTACACATAAACCGTAAAACCGGTCAGAACCTGAGAAACGTAACATTAAGGCAACCCACATGTTGCTTAGAACAATAATTGATTAATTGTGGTTATTTGGCATGATAAAGCCAAAGCATTTACTTGCAAATTGAACTAACAAAGATCCCTCAACATCATTGAGCTGTACAAAAGGTATAAATAATGAGGTATTGTCGTTTAAAATGTGGAACAGTAATACAGTGGTCACTTGGAATGACACTTATGCTTCAGGATCTGGCAAGTGCCGTCATTCGCAAAATGAGCCAAAATTAAGATCTCACAATATCACTGACCCATATTTATAAAGCATAAGAGTTTTGGATGGTACAATTTATGAAAGAAGAATCACTTGTCATTTAAATGTGGCACAATAATGCAGTGGTCACTCAGAATGACACATAGGCTTCAAGATCTGGCATACGCCGTCACTCGCAAAATAAACCAAAATTAAGATCTCACAATATCACTGAACCATATGTGTAAACCATAAGAGTTTTGGATGGTACAATTTATGAAAGAAGAATCACTTGTCATTTAAATGTGGAACAAAATACGGTGGTCACTCAGAATGACACATAGGCTTCACTCGCAAAATGAAAAAAATGCCGTTACTCGCAAAATGAACCAAAATTAAGATCTCACAATATCACTGAACCATATGCATAAACCAAAAGAGTTTTGGATGGTACAATTAATTTTATGAAAGAAGAATCAATTGTCATTTAAATGTGGAACAATAATACGGTGGTCACTCAGAATGACACATAGGCTTCAAGATCTGGCATATGCCGTCACTCACAAAATGAGCCAAAATTAAGATCTCACAATATCACTGAACCATATGTATAAACCATGAGAGTTTTGGATAGTACAATTTATGAAAGAAGAATCACTTGTCATTTAAATGTGGAACAATAATACGGTGGTCACTCAGAATGACACATAGGCTTCACTTGCAAAATGAAAAAAATGCCGTCATTCGCAAAATGAACCAAAATTAAGATCTCACAATATCACTGAACCATATGCATAAACCATAAGAGTTTTGGATGGTACAATTTATGAAAGAAGAATCACTTGTCATTTAAATGTGGAACAATAATACGGTGGTCACTCAGAAGGACACATAGGCTTCAAGATCTGGCATATGCCGTCACTCGCAAAATGAGCCAAAATTAAGATCTCACAATATCACTGACCCATATGTATAAAGCATAAGAGTTTTGGATGGTACAATTTATGAAAGAAGAATCACTTGTCATTTAAATGTGGAACAATAATATGGTGGTCACTCAGAATGACACATAGGCTTCAAGATCTGGCATATGCCGTCACTCGCAAAATGAACCAAAATTAAGATCTCACAATATCACTAAACTATATGTATAAACCATAAGAGTTTTGGATGGTACAATTTATGAAAGAAGAATCAATTGTCATTTAAATGTGGAACAATAATACGTTGGTCACTCAGAGGGACACATAGGCTTCAAGATCTGGCAAGTGCGGTCGCTCACAAAATGAAAAAAAATTAAGATCTCACAATATCACTGAACCATATGTATAAACCATAAGAGTTTTGGATGGTATAATTTATGAAATAAGAATCATTTGTCATTTAAATGTGGAACAATAGTACAATGGTCACTCAGAATGACACATATGCTTCAAGATCTGGCAAACTTGTGCCGTCACTTGCAAAATGAACCAAAGTAAGATTTCACAACATCACTGAACCATAATTATGTATGGATGTAAAACAAGAGTTTTTGACTGTAAAAATTTCAAAAGGGAAATCATTTGTCATTTGAAATGTAGTAGAATATTAAATAATAAATTATAGTGACCACTGCTTTGTCAAGTGCTGTCACCCGAAAAGTACAGTAACCCCAAAGATCTAACATATTAACTCAGCTGTACAACAAGCCAAATTTCTGAATTATGGACATGCTAAGGTCACATCACCGACTTATATTGGTGTAAAAGAAATGTTTGCCTGCACAGCTCAAGATCCGGCTACTTAAGATTATTCTATTAATGAAGACGATGCGCAACAAAGAGTACAGTTATTTCTGCAGTAAACAAAAAGGAATCAATCAATGGCATATCTGTGCATGCATCTTAAATTTTAAGATTTATCTTTGAGGTTTTAAGCTTACGCAAAGTTATTAGAAAACCAAAGTAAGTAAACGAACCACGATATCAAGAAGAACATACCTTTCTGCAATCCAGCTGAGTTGATGACTTGGAAACAGGCTTTATGTGAAGAATATCGCAACTGATCACTGTCTCTCGAAAATAACAAAGGTATAAATCGTAATAGAACAGCTGAATAGAAAGACAGGCTTTCTATTATCCGAAAATAACAAAACTACTCGTTTTGCAACGCTGTATCGCTTGTGAAGTCCGCGTGAATTTGAACTGTTCAACGAAAGTTTATTTTACACTATTCTATTGGTTCAAAAGCCGCACGTGACAATGTAAATCAAATCGCGCATGTGCCAAAGTCACATGGAAGCCTGGGCAACAAACATGGCGGCTGCTCTTGCGACGGAGTGCATTCAGGACTACATTCACCCGGACGATGAAACTCTGCAATCTACTATTGAAATGACTCCTGGGTTCAGACCTTTCACATATTGTGCATTTTGTTCACCCAAATTGTAAATGGTAACGTTTTACGTCAGGGCCTCCTATTCCGAGACTTCTTGTGATATTTTTTTCCGTGCCACCGACACAATATCAGGAAACGCATTCGACGCTAAACGAAAAAAAAGGGGGGATGGCCTTACCCGAAATAACCAGCTGCAGCAAGTAATATTATAAACTTTGAGAAGAATGTGATGGTGATTGAAACGGAAAATGCAATGGAAAATCAAAACTTGCGTGAAATAACACTGTGAAGTTTGGTAAATGTGCAAACGTTGGTTAAAGTGGTCGTAAAGATAGTTCTTTGATCATCTTTTGCTTAAATTTACGCCTCTAGTAACCATAAATTTACACAGTAACTTTGCTATGCCAGAAAATATCAAGCAAACATTCAGTTTTGACGTTCGATTTTTACACACAGAACAAAATGGTGGCAAACTTGAATCTAAACACCAAATTTACTATGGGGAACAAAAGTGAAACAAAATATCTGTAAACTTGAAATTTACTTCACATTTACGCCGCCCTTGCAGAAAAGTAAACTTTCACTTTCGAACAAAATTTGCACCAAGAACAAATAAGTAGCAACATTAGTACCCTAAATTTACAATAGATTTGCTCAACTAGCAAACTTAGGCAAATCCGTTTTTTCGTCCAGTGTAATTAACCTCGAACTGGAACACTGCTTTGCAATCGGAAATTTTAACACAATTTAGCAGTTCTCTGTAAATTTGACATTTTTCGTATAATTCTTAGATGACTAGTCCAATTCTTGCCCAACGTTTTTTTGATATTCATGGTTAAATCAGCCTTTGATAGAGCTCGACTACTGTCTGCGGAGCCGGATTGAGTTCGATCGTGGGGGCCGAACCAATACTCCGGAGAGTGTAGAAAAAATCTTACTAAAAGAGAAGGCACTTTCTTGCAAACGGCCAGACCCTAGCGTGACTCGGTTGATTCGGATAATTTCATTTCCCTTACGAGATAAAATATTTAAAAAAATCAAACAACATCAGAAAAAACAAACAGTGTCCTCAGTTACTTAAAAAAGCCATTAATTATCGGAATTTCGATCTAATGCTAACTTAGTCAACGTTCTTGAACTGTTTTAACAGCCTTTATCACGAACGTTTTCACTTACTCACCTAAACATTTGTTTTACAGATGATGATGAGACAAACGGAAATTTGCAATTGCTGCCGGTAATTAGGAACAACTTACAACAGTCAGGTAAGACAAACATCTTCTATTCATTACTGAAACCGAACGTAGTGTGGAAATCAATAAGTGACTATGTTTATGCCGCACTCCAACTGGAAAAAGAGGCGTCGTTAGCTATCATGACAGTAAACTTCAAATCATACTGAGACGATGTATTCCGCGATGTTTTACATCATCGATGCTGTGGCGGATGTGAAATAAACTCCATACCGTTGTATGAAATTGCTCCAAATTCACAACTGAAAGGCGATATTGGGCCGTCTGGTCGATTCGGACGGTCAAGTGACAGTGGGTCTGATCCCTCTAGCATCGGAAATTTCATCATCAGTATCATCATCATCATCATAGTCATATACATTACCCAAAAGTAATGATAGCAACATTCAGGTTAAAACACTGTAGTTTTCAATTGCATTTTTGTCCTTAGTATTGCTGGGCCATTACTTTCAAGGTTGGATTTAAGTGACGCGACACGAGGAAACATCTCTGTCTCAAAAACGTAGTCCACCGCGCTTTTTTGGTTTTTGTTCCTTTGACTGCTTTAGGAACAAATCGGAACAAACTAGGAACGCACAATTAAGTAT